GGTATTTCCTGTATTTTAAATTATTTGTTTTACACTTCTATTTCTGTTAGAATAATGGGTTTTTCCTATTAATTCGTTTTCTTGTTCCTACTATTTAAATTGGCCCTAATCTCTTTTTTTAAAAGGAAAATTGACTCTAATCTCTTACTGGCGTACTACTCCGTCCCAGAAAAATAAATTATAGCTACGAACCTGGGCACATATATGTTCAAGTTCGTAACTAGGATTGTTTTTTAGACTGAGAGATAGTTATTCAAGTTCGTAGCTAGGATTAGGATTGTATTTTTTAGATAGAGGGGTAGTGCTGCTGCTAATAGCATTATTACGTTACCCAGAAAGGTTAATTATTACTACGTGCTTTGATCATGATTGTTTTTTGTGGCAGTAAGAAAATTTCTTGTCTTTGAATTCGAGTTTAGTGGATGCATGTCTGCATATTGCGGCTATTGCCGTACTACTCGGCTACTCCTGCTTTCAGATCGATTTAATGTTTGGCTGAGTATAAAGTTTAAATTTTGGTTAAAATTAGAGATGATGTGACTGAAAAGTTATGTGTATATGATAGATTGATTTAATGAAAAATGATTAAAGTTTGGATCTAAACTTTAAATCTAAACAGCCTGTACAGTGGCCGTGGACCAACTGAACGTACGGCGACAAGTGGCATGGCTCACTAGAAAAAGAAAATTCGCTGTCAGCTTCACTCCGGATCGGACGGCCACGCCTCCAGTCCACGACTTTTTTGATCGCACGTGTTAGCTTTTAAAACTACTCTAGCTCGGGTCGCACGTGTGAATGGAAGCTGTTTCGTTCTTTTGACCTCATCGATTTTGTGGAGCAACAGTACACGCACGATGGAAAACGCACGTCGTTTAGCGAGCGTGTCTATTGACAACCCATTTTAAGAGCGAGCCACGGAGCAAAGAGCGTGTTCTTAATACTCTGGTTGAGTTTATTTGTTCACGTTTTTCACTTACTTCTCTCGTTTTTCATGCGTATGTTTTTTAAATTGCTAAATAATACGTATTTAAAAAAATTATATACAAAAGTTGTTTAAAAAATATATTAATTCATTTTTCATAAAAGTTCAGCTAATACTTAATTAGTGATAAGTTAATAAATTACTTCATTTTACGTGCGTGAGATGTTAGTTCCTAACCTCGATCAACTAAAGAACTCAACCTAATTAATGTTTTTGATTTCGCCACGTAATATAGCTCTACCTTATTACTTTTAAGGGATTTTCTTATTGTGATTTAAAAGAGTTGTGCACTTCACTGATCGGTCTGAGCTGACTCAATTAATCTATCAATTCTAAGGTTCGGTTTAAGAAATATACTCTATGAATGAACACTACTACAGATCAAGCGATCGAAATCGATCTTCGCCTACGGTTAAACGGTCCGTGATGCACGCAGGTGTTTGTAAAAATCAGTATTGTCTCGTGCATCTCATCCTTGTTCAAACATCGACATTTGAATTCTAAAACCTTAACATGTGGCTATATATGCCACCTTATAATTAGTGGGTGGATGTAGTGGGAGAAATCACACCTTAATTAGTGGAGTGGATGTAGTGGGAGAAATCGCACTACATGGAGATGTTTGCGTATATATTCTTCCTATTTAAGATAGAGAACGTACGTATAGAAACTCCTCGTGTGGCATGGCACGTCCTACCCTGTTCTTAATTGTTCTCTACTGAAGTGTTGCGTGCTCATCGTGAATTTAGCTAGACACTGCACTTACATGATAAAATGAAATGATTTGATCAGTCTCACTCGCATTTCATTCTCACGGAGGCCGGCCATACGTTACGGCGAGTTAGTGGCATTGTCAATTCGTTTGCAAATGCAATGCGTATCCTTGTCAATTAAATTGCCGTCTTGTTGAAAAAACGCTGATAATGTGTGGTGTATGCATGTGCTAGGCTAGTATAACAATACGGCGCTGAAAAACTGAAAGTTGTCCCAGTGAGAGCGAACTGAACATTGACGGTCAAACTATGACCTTTGTCTCGAGGAGATTAAAATTACGAGAAACAGTGGGTAAGAATATGGAGAAGCCAACTTTTAGTTTATAGTTTATTTTATAGGTTCTACTAGGGTTGGCAACGGGGCGGGACGGGGCGGGTGCGGGTTGGATAGGAACGGCCCCGCCTCCGCATCCTTGAGGGTTCACCCGGCCCCGGCCCCGGAGTGAGGAACGGGGCGAAATCAATCCCCGCCCCCGGCCCCTCCGGGGCCCCGCACCATTTCCGGGTCCCCGCACCCAGATACAAGCGGCGACTGCTAGCAGCCGAAGGAAGGAAAGAATGGTCTGGGAAACTTGCAGCAGCCGGGTGGAGGAAGGGAATAATGATGTGGGGAACCTGCAGCAGCCGGAGGGAGAGGAACGGTCGGAGAAGGAGGAGAACAGCACAGGCGCCGGCAGCTGGAGAGGTAGGAGAACGACATGGGGCGTCGGCGGATGGCAGGATGGGGAGACGGCGTCCGTGAGAGCAACGATACGGGCAGCGTGGAAGAGCGCCGACCGCCGCTACTTGATGGTGCGGGACCAACTCGCGAGGCGTGATTTGTGGAGGTGAGGAAGCGCCAAAGCGGCGTGCGGCGTGTGATGTGTTGCGTGATTTGTGGGATAGCGTCAAAAGTCAAAACTACTGGAACGAGAATAGAGATTGGTGGCGGCGGCGACAAACTCACGGGATTGATTTTACGGCCCGTTTGGTTGGAGGGAGTTTTTAAGAGGAATTGGGATTAGAGGGATGAGGCTATTAAGTATTTTGTTTGGTTGGGAGACATGGGAATTTTGGTGGGATTGGGATGGGGAATTGAGGAAGAAACTCCCTCCTTTTCAATACCTGGGTAGGGGCAGGTAATTGGGAGGGAATTTCTCCTTTACTTTGTCTAAGCAAATCTCAGCCATCCGTTTTTATTAATGAGCTAATCTCCAACTAAACTCCCTATCAGTTTCTATCACATCTACCAAACAAGACATTGGGATTAAAAATCAAATTCCCATCTTAATCTCATCATAAATTCCCTCGTGTAAACTCCTAATCCCCTTCCCTCAAGTTACCAAACAAGTCTTAGGGTTGGCTTCTCTTTACTGATCTGTATATATATATATTGGGCTATATGGGCCTAAATTTGATTATGGGCTGTATGCCATATTTTAGATCCCTATATTCCGGGGCCCCGTGGGTCACCCGCGGGTGAGCCTGTGGCCCCGCCCCCACCCCCGCATAGTTCCGGTGCCCCGTCCCCGCAGCCCCGCGGGTTGAAATTTCGCCCCGTCCCCGTCCCCGTAGGGGTGGGTACCCGGCGGGTCCCCGCCCCCAACGGGAAAATTGCCATCCCTAGGTTCTACAGCTACAGCTTTTTAGAATCTGAATGAAAATCTAGATTGTTTGAGGGAGGATTTGATAACTAGTGCTTCTAGAAAAATCTTCAGCTACTAAAAGCTTCCCCAAACAGGCTCTATGTCCGTTCTTTCTAGTACTTCATAGAACTAGTAATTTACCCGTGCTAATGCTACGGTGTAATAATATTTTGATTAATAAATTATATTATTAAATTTCATGTTAGTCAAATTACATTTCTAGAATCAGTCTCAAATGTTAATTTAAGACAAAGAGCAAAAATATCATATTGTCTGAAAAAAAATAATTTAAGACCATCAACTATATCTAGGCTAAATTCTTTCCCACGAGTCTTTAAAAAAAGTATGTTTTCATGAAAATACCGTGTTGTACTGCATTGAAAGCTTTTTTGTTAACTTTAGTTATCAAATATTTAATTTAGTTTTATAACTAAATTTGTAAAAATAATTCAATAAATAATTTGTTTTAGACGTGGGCAAGATTTTTTTTTACTAGATAGGCACCGGCGAAAATCCCGGCATGACGAGTGCGCAGGTGTGGCGGTGGCCGGCCGTCGACGGCGACGCTTCATATTGAAGACTACTAGCACCGTGGATGCTCGCCGGCCGTTTTGCCCCTCAGCTTGTCTGCTGGCAAAGTCGTAGACTAAACAGATGGAGTAGTAAACTAAATCACGTCTACTATTTATTTTTTTCCTACTTAAATATTAATTAAAATTTTAAGTTTGATCGAATCTATAGAAATGAAATGAGTATAGCTCAACTAGATTACTTGTGATGGAAACAGCTCATCTGAGCTCAAATCATAGAATTGACATATATACTTGTATTTACGGCTAATTATATTTTCAGTGATAGGCGACTTACCCATCGACAGATAGGCACTCGTGGTGACTTCGTTAATCTCAGGATATGCCGACCAAGTCTTCTATCGACACCCATAGTGACTTCGTCTCATCAACCTCAAAATATATCGGTCTAGTCTTCTATTGACGCCCGTGGTGACTTCATCGATCTAGAGATATGCTGGTCCAGTCTTCTGGAGGTGCTCATAGGAGTGGGTGTGTGCACGTTTTGAGCGCATGCATTTATTCTGTGTTTCTCAAAAAATATAGTACACGAAACAAATATATTATCAAAATATATTAAATGTTAATGTGTTTCTAGAAAAGTTATAGAAAAATATAAAAAAAAATTTTGACACAAAATAAATATATTATAAAAATATATTAAATGTTAGTTTTAATAAAACTAATTTGGCGTTATTGACCTTGCTAACTTTTTTTTAATAAATTTGGTCAAAGTGAAAACAATTTGACTACGAAAAAAAAGTTAGTACCAAATATACGCACTTCAACTCAAATATAAACAGACCCTAGTAGGAAGATGCTCTCTCAGATGATGTAATAAAAACGAAGAGCTATTACAAAATGGGGAAAAAAGATGGTTAAGCATCTCGCAGAAGAAAATGAAAAAAAAAAGCCTAAGCAAAGCAGATTAGGATGGGCCACGGGCCCACGGACCATACGCATAGGATTCAACCTGACGGCCCACATGCCGATGGATCGGGCCCATATAGGCCTGTTCCTAACTTCCCCAATCTTAAGCCCGGCCCACTCGTGAGCTCTCCCCCGTCTCATAAGAAACCCTCGCGGAGCACACGCTGCTCCCCCCTCTCCCTCCCGCGCCGCCGCCGCCGCCGCCACCGCCGCATCGCCGCTGCCGACGGCTGCGCTCCGAAGGTATCGCGTCGAAATGCTCTTCGTCTCGCCTCTACCACCGCCGCAGATAGTTCTTGCAGCGTCTATGCCTCTGCTGCCCTTTACATTTCCCTCGAGCGACTAGAAGAATTAGGGCGGGTTGGTCGTTGCGGCGGTCCTAGGCTAGATTCGAGAAGAAGAAGAAGAAATGCCGGAGATCCTTGAGCTTGTAAATGGGGATGGTTTCTTCTTCTTCTCTCTTATAGTTGATCTTGACACGGTGTAGTGCGGTGTATATACATCTGTTGCTACTCCTTTGGAGGCAGGATTCCGGTTTTCTTGAGTATGTGACACCGTGGTGATTCCGTTTGATTTGATTTACCATGGCTAGCTGCGCTTCTTTGATAGATTCTGGATTATTTGCCTAGATGCGTGTGAAAGCACCGGTACTGAGGCGCTATGGCCATTGTGATGGCCGTAGCAGCCTATTCTTTTGTGTGCTATATGAACCAGGGAACCCGCTTTGCAGGGGAGATTTGTCCCATGTTTCTTCTGCCAGTAGTCGCCCGACAGTTCACCCCTTTCTGGGGTTCTGGATTACCTGTAGTGTAGTGCGATGTATATACATCGGTTGCTACTCCTTTGGAGGAAGGATTCCAGTTTTGTGGAGTATGTAGTTATTCTGTTTGGTCTGATTTATCATGACTAGCTGCGCTTCTTTGATAGATTCTAGATTTGTTAGATGCGAGGGAAAGCACCGGTACTGAGGCGATATAGCTATTGTGATGGCGTAGTAGCCTATTCTTGTGTGTGCTATATGAACCAGGGAACCCGCTTTGCAGGGAAGGTTTGTCTCATGTTTCTTCTGCCAGTAGTCACCCGACAGTTCACCCCTTTCTGGGTTTCTGGATTCCTAGTCATGGATGGTAATCCGATGCGCGTATGAACTGCAATGTTTCTGGTTCTCTTGAGTGCTTTGAGCATTTGAGGAACCTTGTGTGTGTCGCACAGTCGCACTCAGGTGCTATGGCCTTTGTGATTGCATAGTAGCCTAGTTGATTAATGTGCAAGATGGACCAGGGTAGTATCCTTGCAGCAGGAGCTAAGCTAAGTTGATTATGCTTCTACTGCCTGTAGAATCCCTACATTTTTAATAGTTAAAATTTGAGATGATTACCCTGTCTGTGTATTGTCGATATCTTGATGTAGGTTTTTAATGTTCCATGATTACCTCTGCACAATTTTGTTTTCTGGATTCTAGTCCTGATTCCTTTTTCTTTTGATGTTGGAAATTTGGCAGAATTCTGTGAGGATTTAAGCTGAGAAGATGGTGCTGAAGTAAGTTCCTGTGTATATTTTGTTGTTTCAATATGATTGTAGATTGTTTTAGTGCCCTTTTATCCTGTGCATGCTCTAGGCTATGTAGTTTTTTGGTTAATGGTAGTAAAAGGTTAATAGCAATGATTTACCAATGAGTACTATTTCATATTTGGAAGGTATTTCAACTATTACTTTTATTTTTATCCTACAGGACAGAGCTTTGCCGTTTTAGTGGCCAGAAGATATATCCAGGGAAGGGCATTCGCTTTATTCGTGCTGATTCACAGGTCAGGCTGTTCATCGAATGATTGCTTTAATGTCAGGATATTTCTCTGCTTAGAAGGTTGTTGTAAACGTATTGGTATATTGTACAGGTCTTCCTTTTTGCAAACTCAAAATGCAAGCGCTACTTCCACAACCGCCTGAAGCCTGCAAAGCTTACCTGGACAGCCATGTACAGGAAGCAGCACAAGAAGGTATTGTATCTAGATTTAGGCGGGCGTTTTCTCACCTATATGCACATACTCTAACTGGATGACCTTTAACCCTTTTTTTTTTGTTCACTGACCGTTGCTTTCTTAAATTTGTTGGGTTGAGCCGAATGCTTAAAATTTGTAATGTTGTATTGTGCTTGAAATGCTAAGTTAATTGTTTCTTAAGCTATCAAACCTGGATTCCAGTAAATGTCTGTTTGTATGATTAAGTGTGACCGTCTACATTCAAGATTGCGGTTTTTTTTACTGTGCAAACATCATGTTGATTCTTCAAATAAGCGCCTTGCAGTGTTTGCGTGCAGATAAAAATATTGTATGTTTGGGTACTTTGGTTATGTCTGTGCCATGTAGTTCTCTTTGTCAGCTTATGCTCAATTCCTTGTATATATGTACAGTTAGTCATGCTATGTATTGCTTCCGATCAGATAAATTCTGTTTACACCCTTTCCCAATTTTCTGTTTTTTAGGATATCCATGCTGAAGCTGTCAAGAAGAGGCGCCGCACCACCAAGAAGCCATACTCTAGGTCAATTGTTGGTGCTTCGTTGGAAGTCATCCAAAAGAAGAGAGCTGAAAAGCCTGAAGTTCGTGATGCTGCTAGAGAAGCTGCTCTTCGGTATGCTCTTTCCCTGAATGATTGCCATTTAGACTGGTTACTGGTTCCAACAAAGTATCCACCCATGGAATAGAACATTGCCACTCTATATGGGTTACATTTTGCCTTCATTTTCACTGCATTAGCCCTTACCTCATGCGGTGCCTCTTAACTTCTCAAGCAGTGTTTTCGTTTGCTGCCTTTGTTCTGCACAGCTCACTGTATCATTGCAACATGATGTTTGCTACCCATTCTTATTGGATGTCTGCTCCTAGTGAACTCTCTGTTCATATTCATGCATAATCCCCTATTGCATCTTGTGTATGCATAATCCTCCGATATACATTTCGATGATGCTAAAGGACTAAATTCATCTGAGCTTATGCATTGTGCAGTGAGATCAAGGAACGCATCAAGAAGACCAAGGATGAAAAGAAGGCGAAGAAGGCTGAGGTAACCAAGTCCCAGAAGTCGCAGTCGAAGGGTGCCGCCCCGAGGGGTTCCAAGGGCCCGAAGATTGGTGGTGGTGGTGGAAAGCGCTGAAGATTTCTTGATCCCCAGGAAAGGGTCGCCTGGTTCTCGCCGGCTGTCTAAATCGTATCTCATCAAAAGCTACCCTGTAGAACCTCTGTTAAATTAGCACTACTGCCAAAATGTTTTAACATCGCCACTGGAGATAATGTCATGAAGTTTGAAATGCTATGTGGGAAAAATGTTTTTCTTTGGTTGTGTTACTATTACGAGATTTGACTTGGCTTAATGTTTCTGAGCAAAGTTTGATGCTGCTTGGCATTTTAATCCTCTTGTGTTTTGTTCGGTAAAGAGCATTGGTGTTCATGTATCATGATCTGAATGCTCGTTCTGAATTGACGGCCCTAGAAATCCCATCGTATTATATTCTCTACAGAAATATAGGCTTTTGAAATCCTGTTAGTAGCGTTAAAAGCGAATTTGACTTTTAAAGTTTCACCATTTTTTGCGAACGGGTAGCAGGAAAGCTAAAGTACGTTCCCTTCAAACAGGCTAGACTTTGTAGTGTCCGAGTGGTATTTATTTCTCTTTCCTTATTTACTTGAAAAAATATTCATGTGTTGCAACGGGTAAATGCTATTTTAATTTTATTATTGTTTACGGTTTAGTTAGATAAAATTCACTGTGGGAAGTCGTTTGGATATTTTTTTCAGGAAATCATGAGCTACAATTAGGTTCGTATTTCATCTCATGCTAGCATGCGAGTTTTTTTAAAGATTTCTTATACGACTCCTATTATACTTCCAAAAGGAAAACAATCTTAAAATCTAACTCAAACACGCATCTGTATTTCCAAAAACGAACGAACTTAAAACCTGACTCAGATACGGATGACGTACCAAAATACCAGTAAAAACATCTTTAAGTTTTAATTTTTATAATAGTAGATATTTCTCTTTCTTTATCCAGGATTTTTGCTATATGTATGAGACTTGATTTCGTATTTGATGTATTAAGTATTGGGTATCCCATATTCAGGGCATTAACAGCATGCATCATATAAGTTAATTTTAGGGCATTAACAGTATGCATCTTAGTATAAGTTAATTTTTTTTCTTTGGTCTTGCTTAAAAAATAGTAAATACTCTCTTCATCCCATAAAATCAACTACTGACTATGTATCTAGGTCAAGATACACAATCAAAAATTGGTTTTTATGGGATGGAAGAAGCATGTTTTAGACTTCAGATGGAGGAAGTACTCCCTCCATTCCAAAATATGCAGGTTCTTGAATGGATGGAACACATCACAATAGTACAAATCTGGATGTCTTAAGAATTTAAATGTCTATTCAAATTTACAGTAGTAAGATGCGTCACATCCATTCTAAAACCCTTTATTTTGGGATGAAGGAAGTATTACTTAACATATTACTAACTGTATTACGATGGACCATGCTACTCTGCATTAGAGACGTTGTAAGGCAGAGGATCAACATGATTACTATAAATTATGGGAGTTGGCAGCCATCCGATCAAGGGCATAAGGCCTATATATCTCAGGCCGAGTTTAGCTCTAAATTTAATTTTTTCTTCAAACTTCTAACTTTTCCATCACATCAAAACTTTCCTACACATATAAACTTCTAACTTTTCTATCACATCATTCCAATTTCAACCAAACTTCCAATTTTGACGTGAACTAAACACATCATTACTACACTAAATAAAAGTGTGCTACAATTTTCATGTTATTGTAGATACCATAAATCGACGGTATTCATTACATTGATCCACTGTTATACTCACATACTTCCTCTATCTCATAAAAAACCAATTTAGTACTGGATGTCCAGATTTGTAGATAGGATGTGTCACATCCAATATGTTAGTTTTTTATGGACGGAGGGAGTACTCCCTCCATTAAAAAAAATCAATCTTAACTATAAATATAGACACACGTGTTCAAATTCATAGTTGGACCATAATTTTCATGGAGAAAATGAACATTTGGCCACGTTCAAAACACGGTTTCGCTAGAATGCCACCCCAAAAACACGGTTCGATAAAATGCCAATACGAAGCGTGCATCTGTTGTCACTTTGCCATTTTCACCATTTTATTCATTTCCAAAAAGATTTTGGCTCCTCCGCTGGGTAATAAGACGGAACTGCCCCTTATCACCCTACGGCGTTGATATTCTTCCCCATCCCCTTTCTTCCCCCACTCTCTCTCTCCCCTTCGGCATGGCGGTGGTGGCAGTGCGAGCGGTGTGTTTCGACAAAGGGAGTGGCGCAGGGACGAAGCAGCTTCGAGCAGAGACGCGGAGCTCGCTGAAGATACATGCGCGGGGATGAGCTAGAGCGCCATGACCACTGCGAGCTTGGCGCACCCTTTAGCGAGCTCGAGCTCGAGCTCTACTCGTGTGGAGGTGGAGGTCATGGGCGATGTTTTTGTCAGTAGCGACGACATCGCACGGAACCTCATCATTGACTATGGCTCTGGCAAGATCGCGCTCACCGCCGCGTGCATCCACTTCCGTATCCCTAGCGCTGCCCTCAACTCCCCCTTCCACCACTGCGTCGCTTCGGTCCTCCCAACAATTGCTTTGCTGTCACTACCACCGAAGAAGAAGCCACTTCCGCCGCTGTCACCGACGGCGGTTGCTAAGAGGAGCCCACAACCCCCTCAGCCTTTCGTGCTTCGGCCAGTGCGGCGGTGTGGCCCCTCCTAGCCAACGGAGGGAGGCGCAAGAAGCAGCCGGCGGCGGTGAGGGCGTGAGGCCTTTTTTTTTTTTTTTAGAAATGCTCGATCCCCTTTCACTTGCGAGATGAAGAAAAGGCAAGCCGGAGGGGTATTTTCGTCTGATCACCACGTGAACAGCAAAAAAAACATTTCGGAAATCATGAAAAGGCGAAAATGGCAATGCGACGAGTAGCGCGCGCTCGAGATTAGTATTATATCGAATTACGTTTTGAGGATGACATAATAGCGAAATCCAGTTTTAAAGATAGCTAAACGTTTATTTTCTCATTTTTCATGGGACGGAAGGCGTAAACAATAAACCTCTACAATAATGCCCAGGATTCGGATCTCATTGGATGTGAGAAGAGAGAGACAGCGAGCAAAGCGAAGTGAACTGACTGTGAAGTGACCGCACTTCGGCTGCATTAACTGCATCGTCTCGGCTAGGCTAGGGCTAAACACGTCCAGAGACCAAAACGAGTCGACTCGTCGTCGTCGTCGACACTCGAGAGGCACCTGCACTACTCCACTCAGCTCACACGCAAAACGTCCGCTTCGTCTCGTCTCCCTCCTCTCAAACCGCCTCGTCTCTCGCGCCCTCCTCCTCTCCTCTCCTCCTCTCCTCTCACTCGCTCACTCGCTCGCCGACGCTGCCCGAGGCGGAGGCGGCGGCGGCGGCGGCGAAGAGGCCGTAGCCCGCTTCGCTCGGCGGATCGCGCGCGCGAACCGGGCGGTGGAGGAAGGGGGAGGGGGAGGGAGAGGGGCGGAGAGCGCCATCGCCGACCAGGTGAGCGCTTTGATTCCCCTCCTTTTCCCCCTCTATTTCTGACCCTCCGGCTCGCACGTGTCTCCCCCTCCCACCCACCATCTCCGGTGTGGCCGGCCGGCAGATGGTCGGCGGCGACGACGACGGTAGTGTAGTGCTGCGGGTACCTACGCTTCCCCGAATTTAAATTTTGTAACCTAATTTTGGTGTTGATTTTAGGGTTCTCACCATAGTTTATTTCCAACGGTTTTCCCTGAGGAGAAAGGAGAAGACTTGGAATATACAGTACGTAAAACAAGCTGAACGCCTGAACTAGTACATGATTAATTAGATATTAACTATTTTAAATTTGAAAAATATATTAATATAATTTCTTAAAGCAACTTTTCTATAGTAAATATTTTTCAAACACGCACTGTTTAGCAGCTCGGGAAATGCGCGCGCGAAAAACGAAGGAACCCTTCTCCCTATCTGCCACTCTTACAAAAGAACACAGCAAAACATTTCATTGCTAAGAACAGATATAAAAGTTTTACCCACAAATTATTTTGAGTCTATTCAACACGCTGCATTCATTTCATTAGCTGCATATATATTTGTGTACTATTGCTACAATGATCAACAGAATTAGCAGTGCTATACGTTTTGCCCCCTTTCGAAGTCCAAAATTTGGCGCTCTTCTGCCTCCCAGGAACCCCTCCTCGCTTGATTGCTTCGACAACTTTAAGCAGTGATCATTGGAATATAACTCCACTGTGAATGGTGCGAGATGGTTACTAGTTTTTTGTCAGTAAGAGATGCATGATTACTCCTGTCCTGCCCCTGAATCAGGGTTGCATTGTAACAACGGACATATAAACGCAAATTGAATTTCCTAGTAAAGTGCTAAAGGCAGGGATGTGTTTGCCAATGAATTTTCTTTGCAAATGGTCTAGAGTTTGGATTTTAATAATGCGACGAGTTTTGTAATTCCAACTTGAATTGATCTCGTTTTTACAAACAAGACTATTGAAAAAGTTAGGGATATGCTACTTATGATTTGATTAATCAATTAATCTGGGGGAGCTATTTAAATAATGATGGGACTAATATTGTCCAGCTGCTGCTCTCAGCTTCACCCTACTCTCATGCTGCCTTGTAGATCATGAGCACAATGGCTGACAGCGTATTTGGAGAAAGGGACAGCAGTAATCTCGAGATTCTTCAACGAAGTCATATGAACAGCAATTAGTTGACTAGGCAAAGCATCTTTCTGAGTAAATCACGTCTTGTTAGGGTACTTCAGTTGTCTTTCCCAGATCTCTTGTAAAATTCTTTCCCTCAGTCCTGCAGATTTGCATGCTCAAGGACAAGGACCTACACATTATGTGGTGGTTCATGCAAAAAAGAAAAATCAAGTTTTTCTATAATATCTACACATATACTCAACAGTTTGACTGTATACATTTTTTCTATTATAGAATAAGACAGCATTGGCTGCAGAGGGTTCAAATGAGAAAGCTGCGGTAGATGCAAATGAAGTTTCATTGCCTCTTTCTAATCTAAGCAACACTCGACAACATTCTGATAGAGAAAACAACATGCCTGGAAAACATGGCAACGATGGCATGTCAAAAGACATGGGACGTGCTACTAGATTGAAGAGACTGCAAACGCCAATCAACTTATTTGAAGATGAATGCGTTTTCTGCCATTCATTTAGAACACCTCCTCAGGTGAACCATGATCTATTAACCAGAGGTTATGTTTTGAGGTCTTCTTAACCATTTCTGACACTAAAGGTCCTCACTTTTCCTATTTCAGTTTCATGGTCCAATGGCGCATTATCAAAAGGGAAAGCTTGTGTCCAGTGACAATGGCAGTCCATGCCCAACAGATATCATTTATGTTCATAAGAAATGCCTGGAGTGGTAAGTTCCTAAATATATTTCAACTCTTGATGCTTATTCACCACAATTTAGATTTATCATCATGCGCTTCCAATGCAGGTTTAAGATACAAGGATGCTGGACAATTTTTATTTTTATTTGTTGAGATCTGGACCCTTGTATAATTTTTTAGTTTAATACCTTATTGGTTTGCTTTATAAGACAACCATTCCATTTGTTTAATTATGTCCAAATATTAGTCAGTATGATATATAGTTTTAGTGGCATGCAAGAATTACCATTTTGATTCCTATTTCAAAGTAAATTCACATGATATTTTTTTTTAGCCATTAAACAGCCTATTCAATGTTTGAGACGTGCTAAGTCTAACCATACCTAATAAAAATAACCAGTGGCTGGAGTGGTATTAAAGTGGGTAGTTGAGGGGTGATGGTGCGTTCTACATCCCCCTCCCTCCATCCCCCATCATAATTTTGTTGTTTGCATGATATATTCTTCTGCAAAAAGTTGATTTGTTTGCACATGTGTATGTGTAGATGGTTGATTGATCTCATGTAGTAATTTTTCAATTTTCTAGATTTGGAGACAATTCTTATTTTTAGTATATTTAGCTTTACATTATAAACTATATTTACTTCTTCCAGTGCAACAGTTGGCACTAGCTAGTTACTCTCAAAGGACTATTTCTTGGGTAAATTGTTTGTCTTTCCCTACTTTTTTCTTTTGCGAAGGGCCCCGCAAGTATTTTACGAAGGTGATACCATTGTGAACTTGGAGTTGGAAATAAAACGTGCCGCGAAATTGAAGTGCAAAAGATGCAAGCTTCCTGGAGCAGCTCTTGGGTGTTATTATACAAAGTGCAATAGGAGCTATCATGTTCCATGTGCAATGATGACTTTGAATTGCCGCTGGGATGTTGTAAGCTCTTGAGAATATTGTGTAATCGATCCTTTTGTTTGTGATATTCGTCACCACTCTAATAGTCTAATGTTCTAAGCTCCGAGATGCTAATTTTCATTTTGCAGGATAACGGTTGTGTTATGTGCCCTGAACATGCAACGATGCCACTACCATGTGATAAGATAAGCTCGCCAAGAAATGAGAGTGGCAATTCTTCTTCCTTCCCTCAGAGGTTTTTCCATGAATAAGAAATTGTTATTCAATCTTATTGCTTTCTTGGAAGGTTATACAAAGGCTCTGGTATTTGATTAATCATTGATCCTTCATTTGTATTTTTCTCCTTGATTCTGTGTTCCAGCCAATCGTCAATTGAACAAAGCGATTCCGCTGATTGCGAATGGGAATATCCTATAATAGATCAATGGAACACATCAAGTTCTTTGTCTCAAGGGTATATGACCTTTATTCACCTGCCTTTTGAGTTACTTTGTAATCATTTTATGAATTAGCTAATACGGAGTAAATACCTACAACATTCTCTTTTGCCTTTTGTTGTTCCAGACAAAGTTCAGCCAAAGAAGGAATTTCTGCTGTTCCTAAAAGGGAAATAGATCAACTTAACACTTCATGTTCTTCCTTTCCTGAGGGGTACACAATCTTTCCTAACCTTTCTTGTTAGATGTCTTTAAGGTTCCTGATTCTTTGATCAATTGTAGTCTTGCATTCCATAAATTTGTGTTGTATTTAATCATTGCAGCCAATACTTGGACAAAGAAGGAATTTCCACTGACGAATACAGGAAAGAAAAGCAAACAGATCACCTTTACACAGAAAGAGATTGCCCCTCGGATCTGTGGGTTTTGCTTGGTTCAGCTTTAAGTGAATCCGAGAAGGTAGGATAAGTGAGAAGTAGCAAACATTACTCTTTTTTTGTGGTGAACAAGTATACGGACAAACAATGCTGAATCCTACTTCATGGATAATTCAACATAGTGGATGATTTGCTACATTTATGAAGTTAACTCTTCCATTCCAGCTTTTGTGGTAAACATGATTTATGTTTTTCAAGCAGGATTCCTTGCAAGAGTTTGCGTCTTGGACAGATGCAACTGTGGTCAACGAGTGGACTGAAAATGTGACCCATGTTATCGTTGGAAAAAGTGCTGGTAGTGCATGGAGCCGATCTTATGAGGTCCTGATGGCTCTACTGTTTGGGAAATGGGTTGTCACGGTTGGATGTCAGTATTGAGCTATCTTCTCTACAGTTCTCTATTTCTTTTAGGACCCCAATTTGAGTATTCTTTCCTTTACGTTTATATTGTTTGATATACCTAAGTATCCCTAAGGCCATTCAAGGTTTATCATAAATCTGCAGAGTATTATCTATTCCTAAGCTGAAGTGCTTCGCCTTGCTCTTTTAGGGATTATGGATTGCTTGGTAAAGTTTATTCCAAGTCCAGAAGCTTCCTTTGAGTTAAGATTTAGCCATGACTCACGTGCATCAATTGGTGGAAACAAGAAAAGAAGAAATCAAGCTTCTGAAGGGGTACATATACATCGCTGGCTATAAGATTAGACTTATTTTATGTAGTGAAAACTATCGTAGGCTGTCACTTGTATAAGCTTAGGAATTTGATTTGCAAATCTTTCCCAGTAATATTTTCTTACAGGCCTAGCTACAACTGGGTACAACAATGCATAAAAATACTTTTTACATATCGCTGTTCAAAGTCAAGGTGTATATATCTAGTGCATAACTCCATATATTCCACCTGCTTTGTGTTGCAACTTACGACATTTCATTCTTTAGAGCAAATTTTCTGCCGCAACAATCTCCATGATGATAATGCGATGCTTTCAGGCACAGAAGTTGTTCTCGGGACTGAACTTTTGCCTCAGTGCCTACATAAACCCTGACGACAGACAACACATACAGAGCCTGATTGCAGCTGCTGGAGGGCAGATACTGGAGACAAACGGCGGCTCGCATTTGCTGCGTGAAAACCTGGAGAAAGTTGCTGTGAAGCCATGCTACTTCGTCTACGACGGGGGCGCTCCAAGGGATTTCACCCAAGGATTGCTTGATGATCTCCCTAAGGAGATGGAAGAGGGCAGAGAGTATGCTGCCTGTGGAGCTCAGGTGATCAGCCATTTGAGGGTGTTTGATGCCATTGCGGCTTATGATGCACAGATTCTCAGCCACAAGGATCACTTCACCCCGGATGTGTAATGGCGCAAGCTGTGACTGTACATGGTAAAGCATATATCCATGGCTAGTTGTTGGCAATTTGTAGGTGCTTTTGGAGCAGTGCCCTTCAGATCAAATCTTTGGCACTGTAGGACAGTAATGCTGTTGTATATATATAAACCATTCGATGTTTACTGACACATCTGGTTAGCCTGATATTCACCTACTAAGAGCAGGTACAATAGTGGATTATTAGCCGGTTGTAAACATTTTAATGAGATAAAAGATGAGAGAAGAGCAGCGGGCTACAGATCTGTAGCCAGCTGCAGCGCGAACTCTAAGACGCAATGTGTGTATGACAGGTGGGACCATATATTAATAGTATAGCAAGCAACTATTGTATAAATTGGCTATTAGATTGGCTATAAATGAATTGGAGTTAGGTCCTCTTTGTTTAGGCTTATAAGCCAGCTTATAAGTCGAAAAGTCTAAGTCAAAACAAACAAGTAGCTTTTTTTTATTTGGCTTTTTTGAAGCCATAAGCCACTCTAACACTATTAAGCCAAAAGATAGGTTGGAGAAGCTTTTTTGGCTTTTATGAGATAGATGTATGACTCCACCACTAAACTTAGGACATTAAATCCACTGTCTTATAAATCATATAAGCCAATAAGCTGACTTAAAAGTCTAGGCCAATAAGCCTAAGCCTAAACAAAGAGGGCCTTAGTAGTGGGCTGTACTATTGTAACACCCTGAAAATTCGACCAATAAAATCAAAACTCTAAAAATACGGATTTTCAAAAACTTTTTAAACAAATTGCATTATGCCGATTTTATTCACCTATTTCATTGGATTTTGATTTCGGAGTTCGTTGATCGCGAATAAAGAATAATTAATTAGGAATAAACCCTAAAATTAAACTGGCAAAATAAATAATTAAAATATAATTTAAAATAAAGATTAAGTGAGGTTGGTAATAAATAAAAATATTATCGCGACCATATTAGTATCAATTAAATTTAAGTGCGATGGAATAAGAATTAACTTTAATTAAATTCAAGTAATTTATATAAAAATAAAATATGTGTAATGTTAATCTAGGGCGAATCTTTTGGTTAGAGCAACACAAATATTGAGTAAACTTGATTTGTGCAAAAGTTAGAATTTATAGGGCGAGATTTAAATAGAAAATAGACTAAATTAGGGTTAATAAGGATCTAGCCCTATTCATTGCCTACAAGGTGCTTGATGTAATCCTAGCCTAGCCGGCCCCGAGCCCCGCGCCGCCGACGCCGTCGCGTCGCCATCGCCGCGCGCTGTCCCATCGCCGCCTGCCGCCGCGCGCCGTCGCCATCGCCGCTGCCGCGCCGCGCGCCGTCCCGTCGCGCCGTCGCGTCATGTAACATACTGAAAATTTGCTATTTTCTAAATATGCATCATGCCGATTCTTATGTTCTTAATAACTTCCTAAACCTAAGAAATTATAATTAGAGGGACCTCCTAAAACTAACCTGTATAAAATCCCTCTTTGGTATTTAAAATCTTTCGTGGTTTTATTCTAAAAATTGATCTTGTTAAATCGAGGTATTCTCTTTGATTTGATTTTGTATCTTAAACCTTCTTTCGACCAAAATTTCCTTTCTTTAAATTTAGTTTAAAAATCCTTTTTACTTTTATGAATCATGGTCCAAGAAATCCTCCAACTATACCTTTGAACCTAAACCCAAGCAATTCCAATTTCATTGGAATTAATTGTCGACCCATCCTTTAAAATTCTCGATCCAAATTATTTCTTTAAATCTAGCCGCCGATTTAATTTCCGTGGCTTGATTTCCTTCTCAGCACGAGAATAATATTATTATGAACAATTGCTCCTGTGCTAAGAGAATAGACTTTATCCCTCCACCCGAAATCCAAAACCTCATTTAGCCCATATCTAATTCTTTAAATTCCATGCCATATATTTTGGGCTAAAATTCTATTTACTCTACTCCCGTCGCCTCGCGCCACGCGCTTGCCGCCTCGCGCCCCGCGCCGCTGCCGCGCCGCGTCGCCGTCGCGTCGCCTGTCGCCGTCGCGTCGCCTGTTGCCGTCGCGCCGAGCCCCGTGCCAAGCCGCGCCGAGCCCCGCGCCGCGCCACCCACCCGTCGCGTCGCTGCTGCCGCCTGCCGCGCCGCGCGCCCGTCGCCGTAGCCGCCTCAAGCCCCACGCGCCGCGCCGTCGCGTCGCCATTAGGGCCGGCCACCTCTCCCCGCGCCCTATAAATCCCCTCCCCGGTCGCCATTTCACCCCGCACCACCCCACCTCCTCTTCCCCCATTTTCCCCTCTTTCCTCTCCACCGCGCCGCCGTCTTCGTGCCGCCGCACCACCGCCCTCGGTGCCGCCGCACCGCGTGGAGTGCCGCGCCGTGCGTCGCCCGCCTTGCGCCGCCGCCGCCCCTCCCCTTGTTCGGTCGCCGCCGCCGCCCCGGGTAGGCAGTGAGCCGAGAGAGAGAGGAAGGGAGAAGCCGGGAGGGAGAGAAAAAGAAAGAAAGAAAGAAAAGAAAAAAAAGAATTGAAAAGAAGAAAAAGGAAAAATAAATAGAAAATTAGGGAGAGATTAAGGAGGTTTGGAAAATTAAATAATTGGGGTTAGTTGTAGGTTTCTTTTAGTTGTAGAATCACAAAATTTTATATAATTATAGAATATTTTGGTAATCTCTATACAAAATCAATTCGTGGTAGAAATTTAGATTTATTTAAGAGCTAAATAATTATGTTGAATTATTAGGAATGTACTTCTAAATCACAAAAAAAAAGACTTAGGATGAATGAACTTAAAATTGGAATGAAGTGGTTTTGCAAACTTTGTAGTCGATATAGAAAGATCGATTCGCGTTCGACTTTTATTTAAGTTTATTTGGATTTCATTTGAATTCTAATTGAATTCAAATCAATTCTTCGCACGTACTTTTAGACCCGAGGGAGTTGCGGATCCGAGCGAGGATCAAGACCCGCAGGACTACGAGCAATGCAAGTCATCACTATTCTTTGAACATGTTGATCCCAATTGCGAAATTATTTTGTTTACAAATAAAATTGCATGCAATGATGAACATCCTACTTGTGATTATGCCATGCCTTGATTATTGTTTACCCCTTATGCCTTCGTAACCATGTTTACGTATGAGTCCCTAGTCAATTATGACAATTGCTTAGAAATGCTATTCTAGAATCATGCATACTCATATTTATCAAATGCTATATTCTTGGGCAATTATCTTTGGGAAGGTAATTGAGATGCGGCATGTGGAGACATGAGCGCCACATTGCCATGATGTTGATGACATGATTTGTGAAAGGAGAAATAAAATTAAACAACTGTTTTCGACTGGGGCGGACGGAGGATTTGGGTGGTGTCCGGAAAAGGCTAGTGCCGTCCCCGGTCAATTAAGAACCGAGCCATGAAGTTAAGCATGAAACGACCCCCCGTACAACTGCATTTCTCATATGGGTATAGACCTAGCGAATAGATAGCTGAGCGGAGGCGACGTGCGGGTGCGGTGCCTCGCCGTGGCGAAGCTGAGCGTCACCGTTAGCTCGCCGGCCGACGGCACGGCGACCACCGTCGCCACCGCGGCGGCCTGAGCAGTAGCGGTATCGGCGGCCAGCATCAGCTTCGGAGGAAGCGGGATGGACTCCTCGTGGATGACAATCCCGTCGCCGCCGCCGTCACCGTCGCCGGCGATGGCGCGGTAGACGGCAGCCACGCTCTGGAAGCAGCTCGCGCAGGAGTCGCCCAGGAACACCTCGACGGCGGCCTCGACGCCGCTCTTGATGAACATGTAGTCCATGTCCAGCGAGCAGATTGGGCCCTCGATGCGTGACCTCAGCAATCTGCCGGCGCTGCAGGTGATCGTCCTGTCGACGAACTCTTTGCACGCGTCGACCAGCACGTCGTCGGCGTCAGCGTCGGCGCCGTCGCCGGCGGTGTTCTTCAGCTTCAGGTCGAACTCGAGCAACACATGCTCGAACGCGGAGATGCCGCGCAGTGGAGATGACAGCTCCAGTGCAGGAGAGCTCTGAATTATTCCAAACAAATCAATTTTTTTAAAAAAATCGAACGTGTTTGAATTTCCTAAAATTTGTTCAAATTCAGCCAAGATAGATCCTGTTCAAACTCAAAATTTAACATTGTCACTCACCAGTGTCACTTCCTGGGCGTTGTCCCGTGTCCGGTTGAACACAAAGTTGGGCAGCCCCTCCATGTCGTCGCGGGCGGCGACGATCCCATAGACGAGCAGCCGCCGCCCATCACCGCCGCTGCCGGCGCCGGCGGCGAGGCTGAGCGAGCAGAGCTGCAGCATGTTGTCGGCTTCGTAGTCCCAGCGGGGGTGAGGGGTGGTGAACCTGGAGCGGGGCAGCGATGTCGGCGCCGTCTCGTGCATCCGGTACTCGGAGTGCCACGAGAGGCCGAAGAAGCCGTCGCGGTGGGAGGAGCCCTCGAGGACGAAGGTCGGGGTGTAGCGCCGCTCGCCGGCCGGCAGCTCGGCGTTCAGCTTCTCGGTGAGCTCGTAGCCATCTGTGTAAGGGTATCGTTTTATCGTGGCTCCTCCTGCAAGACAAGAAATGTTCATATACTCCATTTGTCCTAAAATATAAGTATTTTTGGACTCTGGTACAGTCTCCGAGATGCTACTTTGACTAACAATATCTATAAAAGTTATTTTAAATTAAAAGAGTTGCACATTATGATAGTATGTTTAATAATAAATCTAGTAACATCAATTTTACATGATTGATCTTTTTTTATTATTTTACTATTAATGGTCAAAGTTAAAAATGCTTATATGTTGGAAACGGAGGGAGTATGTGGCAAGTGTTTTAAATTTGAGGGAATATAATCTTGTTTGTTTAAACATCATATAAATAGTTGGTAAATCTTTTTATAAAAAAACGACAACATTAATAATGTATATATAAAATACTCTATATAAAATCAAGTTAAAACTTAAATCACCCATCTAGGAATAAAAGAATCAAATCAAAGTGCTCTGGATTTATCTTTTTTTAATTCTCAATATGTAAATCGAATTTGAATTATATTTTTTTGGTGGTGATAAAAGTTACTATAATGTACATTGCTAACAATTTTTACAGCTAGAGGCCTCGGTTGTTGGTCGTTCTCCAATGCCATTGTGTAAGGGCTGGCATGGGTTCAAGGGCTTTCTTGACCTGCGTGAGAAGGTTTTATTCTACACAGGATGTACAGGGTCTATTTTGTCTTTGGTGGGTCAAGTTTTTTTTTTAAAAAAAATACAAACATTCACATTGAATTTGAAAAAAAAGAAAAAGTTACACGAGGAGATATCCTTCGAGGGTTTAGAATCCTGTCCCAATATTTGACTTGCATATTATGAACAAGAAATTTATACTTTGGTGCTGCTTGCAATGGAGGCACTTACGAATCTCATATTGACCAATCCGATATTCAGCTAAGTGTTTATTCAGGCCTTGCAGCTGATTATCTTCTTCCTCCTCTTCTGCTGATTCTTCGTGGTGATCATCGTCGTCGTCGTCGGATCGGAATAGCCAGGCCGGGATGAGAGCCTTGTTGGACGGCTTCTTCTTCGTCGTCACATTGCAGCAGTCGCAGGTGCAGCTTGAGCGGCCGGGGACGGTCAGCCATGGCTGCCTCGTCCGGTCCAGCTTCATCACCGGCACCATCCGGTCGATCTCCGCCATGTCGAACTCGGCGTCGCGGTTGCGCCGCCGTCGCCGACGACCCATCGATCGGCGCCTCGGTGATCGATCGGAAAGCAAGCAGAAGCGAAAGGCGAATAATATGGGATTAATTCGGATCCGGCCTTCCAAAGGCGATCGATCGCTTCTTCCGTTTGCCTAAAACCGAGAGGGACTCCGATTCTTTGCAATTCTGGTTGCGAATTCCTAAGAAGCCACGGCTCATGATTAGTTGTAGACTTAAACTTGTAATAACTACAGTACACTTGCTAGTTACTAGTAGTTACTACACCGCAATATTTGTACATTAGTTACTTCATTTATATCGTACAAAAAGAAACACAAACAGCTCAGGATCAATATACAGGCATTCCTATACACCATAGGAGACTTTGTAGCTCGGAGTGAAAGTAGGTGATTGAATGGCTTGAGAAACGGCTGGCAAATTGGAAGGCAAACTTTTATTACTTAGAGGGCGACTGACACTAATCAATTTAGTGATTATCAGCCTATCAATATATATGATGTTCTTTTTTGAAATACATAAAGGAGTGATCAATAAAATTGATTATTTTCAATCAAGGTTCTTTTGGCAAGAGGATGGACACAAAAGGAAATACCGACTAGCAAGGTGAGACATCATCGTAAAGATCAAGGGGGTTGGGAATTCAAGATCTTGAAATTAAGAACAAGATTCTCTTTAGTAAGTAGTTGTATAAGCTACTCACTATAGATGGTGTGTGGCAATAAATGCTAAGGAAAAAATATTTGGAGTCACAGCCTTCTCATTGGAAAACAAGAGAGTCACACTTTTGGGCTAGTCTAATGAAGGCTAAGCCTGATTTTCACATATTTGACTCTTTCAACATCAAAGATGGCTCTCAAGTACGGTTTTGAGAAGATAAATAGTTAGGGAATGCCTATTTAATAGAACAATACCCATGTCTTTATAATGTTGTTAGGCATAAACATGCAACTATTTCAGAAATTTTCCATACTAGTCTGCTAAGCTTTTCTTAGCGCAGGGACCTTACTGGCTCTAAGTTAGTGGCGTGTAATCACCTTCTCTCACACATCGCTAATATTATATTTCTCACAACCAAGATGAGTTTAAATGGAATCTAACCACTGATGACAGATTTTCGGTTAAATCTCTATATCTTGTGTTGGTGCATACCGATGTTCCCAATATAAATTAAAGAATTTGGAAGATTAAAGCCCCATAAAGATTAAAGATTAAGATCTTCTTATGGTACTTATATCAGGGAGTAGTTTTAATAAAAGATAATCTGATTAAAAGGAATGGGAGAGGAACTTGTTCTTTTTGTCGTAAAGATGAAACTATTAATCATTTATTCTTTGATTATCTTGCGCGGTTTGGTCTTTAATCCAATCTGCTTCGAATATTAGTTTACCTAATAGTATAACTCATATGTTTGGGCATTTCATAAGAAGACAACTACACAATTTGAGGCATTTGGTCTTATTTGGGGCAACTGCCACTATTTGATCTATTTGGCTTTGCAAAAATGATGTGGGTTTTGAAATGAAAAACATATCTTCTCTGTTATAGGTTATATTTTTTTTACTACATATAGGCTCTACTCATGGGCTATTCTCCAGAAGGTCAATTTGTTGGGTACCATCACTGCGGCTTGCCAATAATTGGAGTTAGTGGCCATGGAGTTTTCTACCCTAGCACATGGGTGGAGTTCTAGGCTACGGTTAGAGAGTTCCTAAAGTTTTTCGGTTGTCTTGGATGATGATATTATCTTTTGTTTCTTTCTTGTTGGCTGGGTGCACTCTTTGGGTGCATACGCCAGAGATGCTCTCGGAATAATTTTATATTATTTACTGAGATAATAAAACTTCCATTATAAAAAACAATATACAATGGCGAATAGTGACAGCTACCGAGAGCCACACCTCTCCGCGGAAACCACATGGGTGGCTTCTCATTGGATCATCCTAAGATGTTGGAAGACATTAGCAGGCAAGGCAACCGATTGATGAATGATATGGGAGCGGTGAGAGAGTAGCCCCGACAGCAGAACTCTCCTGCTGTGCATGTCAATCCTGCAAACGTGATATAGTTGGGGGTCATTTTATGTCCTGAGCGGCTTAGGCTGTTCACTTTAGTGCCATTTTCAACCTTACCAAATTTCGGTAAAGTTGCCAAAAAATGGCTACATTTAGTTTGCTGCCAAATTTTGATAACTATATAAGAAATCCTGCCAAAATTTTGGCATAGTTAATAAAATTTTGGCATTGCCAAAATGACATTGCCAAAATTTTGTAAGGTTTTTTTTGGCAACAAAGTAAACAGGCCCTAAGAAGTAGAGAACAACACCATCTTCCCGCAGCCTCACGAAGGGCCACGTGAGCACCATCCGGGGCAACCGTGACGTCTTGTAGTCCTCCTACGCCCATAAGCTCCTCATGTCGAGCGTGTCTCAAGTCTCATCAGCTGATTTGTCCAGAGTCCATATGGCCACCGTCGCGTTGGCTGCTTCGGTGGCGGCGTGGCACGGTGACGATGGCATGTCTTCTTCTTCTTTCGTTGTGGCAGCGGCAACAGCGATGCGGGCGGTGTTAACGGAAACGAGTTTGATGAAGTTGTCCAAGATGCCTAGGTGTGGTGCATCTCCATACATCCAAGCTTCTCGGATTTGAAGGTGTGGAGAAGTAGGTACTACGGGGCAGACGCGGATCTGACATAGGGCCCCGCTAAGGGATCTCAGCCCTCACTACTGGCGTTAGGAATGTGGGAGCCCCACCTGAGCTCTTCTACAACTATTTGCTCCACATATATAGAAAATGGAGGTTTAAATTTTATCTAATTTATTCAGCCCCACCTGCTTTTTTTTTTTTGGATCCGCTACTGTCCGGGTGGAGGCTGACGTACCTGAGATCGACGGGTGGTGGTGAGCCGCCTCCGTCGCCGGTGAAGACGATGGCGGTGTCGCAGCACATGAAGCCCTGCGAGAGATCCGCCCAGAATGTGTTGCCGTCGAACGAGAAGATGGTGTCCGTGCAGAAGAATCCTCTTGTGTGTCCACTGTTCGCTCCGCCACAGGCATCCGCGGCGTGCAGCTTGCAGGAGAAGGTGATCACCTTGGTCCAGCGGCGGCCGGCATGACATGATGGTGTTCATCTTGATCCTCAGCAGAGCCTCGTCGGCCGCGCCGAAGGCGAGGCCGGAGAGGAGGTCGTCGCCGGCGCCGGCGCCGAGGCGCGCGTAGAGCGTCAGGCCATCCACAACCACCAGCGCCTGGCCGATCGAGCTCGCCGCAGCCGAAGGCGTCCATGCGCGAGCACTCGATTCATACCACTAGCACGCGAGCCAAACCCAATACGGCAACTTTTACCTGACCACCACCATCGGCATCGGCGATGTGTCGTCCTTGTCAGATCGTTACCACTAGCCAGTTGTCTGTTGCTTGAATCATACTTTCTTCGTCCAAAAAAACTCAACCTAAAAAGGATGTAGAAGGAAATGGCTAGATTCATGCCCAGATTGAGTTTTTTTTTGGACGGAGAGAGTAAGTTCACAACATGGCAAAATTTTACCTGACCAAAAATTATCAAAGTAATAATAAAAAAAAAAACAGGACAGGAGCTGATTCAAGATCCAAAATGTCGGTGCCTGATAAGTTTAAACGACATATCTGGTACGGTACAGGTAAAAACAGGTTTAAACATTCAAAACATTCAGTCATCACAAGACCGAAACATAATTAAAACGGGGTTCAACTTTGTTTCAAAACTTAAAAATGGGTTTAACTGATTGCAGCCAACGAATTATGAACCGCGGTATTTCGCAGCTACCACAAACGCCGGCCATCGCAGGAGCTCCGATCCCCAGAACCAGCATGCATACCCTGTTCAGAGGAAATTAATGTAGTTTAGGCCACCAAGTAAGTTAATCTGAACTTACTATAGAACTAAACAAGTTCTTGCAGAATCATTTTGTGAGAGTTAACTGTACCTTAATAATACCAACAATTGATCCAAGCCATGAAACTCTAATCTTCAACACGGAGAACCTACTGCAATGGCTGCAAATGCAAACTTACATCAGAAAAGGGAATTATGGCACTTTTTTTAATCATAATTATGACACTATTTTGACATTGTGCACAAAAAAAACGTCTATTGGGACTCCCAAATCTGACCTTGTTTATTCTTACACTACCATTTTGGGTGGCAGGATTTTGGGTGGCAGGAAGAAGGGGAGGAAGGGCAGGTATCTTCTCGATATCGTCATAACGGAGAATAAAGTTGTCCTGCAACCAACTTTCAGATATATTTTCTTCTGCTATCGGAAAAAGCTGAAAATATCTGTCAGAATTTCTTTCGGACGTTTACCTTAGGAATTGCATCCCAAATGTTGGCATCAAAAAGATAGCAGAGTCCTTGTTCATAAGTTGTAGTTTTGACGAGAGGGGTCGTATTAGGAGCTCTTTTAACCCACTGACGCAGCTCTTTGTGGTAAACCCACCCGTATTTGCATCTGAAGAAATGGAAGCAACAATCTGAGCTATCTGGCATACCAGGCCATCGTTTTACTGAAAATGACAGGCAAATGAGAAAACAATATAGAACTGTGGTTTTGTGCTTACATTTCATTCGCGGCATATAACTGAGCTGCATCCTGTGGCATACTGCACAAAAGACAGTCAAATAATGCATAGCCTACTAACACAGGAATTCACTGTTGATTGAACTAAGTACCTGTAGAAGATGTAGAATAGTGTCATGAGGTGAAACCTCAGAAAATGCAACGCCTGCAGAGGAAGATAAATCGTAATGTCAGATACAACAAGATTAATGCTAACCTAAACATTCCCTCACAAAAAGAAAAAAGAAGGTAACTCGAAAATTGAGGGCCTTACTTGCAGGGGTGGAGGCTGCATAGAAGAGTAGCAATCCGGAATTTCATAAGAATACTCTTCTTTAACTGGCTCACTTGACCAAGGAGAGCCAAATGTCTTGTAAAGATTATCTGAAGAGTTCATATCCAACCCTAGTGTTGTCAAATCAATCCCTAAAGCAAGAGATGCCGGTCCCTCCTCTTTCAACTTCATTACCCTCAGTAGTCCATGTAAGCCATATGGATCATATGGATCCGGTGCGGTATCAGTTCTCTGAGAAGACTTGGGACTCTGAACCTTGTGAGACTCTGGTGCGGTATCGGTTCTCTGAGAAGGCTTGGGACTCTGAACCTTGTAAGACTCTGGTGTGGTATCAGTTCTCTGAGAAGACTTGGGACTCTGAACCTTGTGAGACTCTGGGCCGGAAGATGACTGCAGCCTAACTGACTTCTGAGCCTGTGGTTCATGATTTTGCTGGATAACTTGTTCACGAGGCCTCGGATTTAAAGGCAACCTTGGAGAATTTACTGGCTTTGGTCCAACATTTTCAGGCCCAGTATTTTGAACCTAATAAACACAATCAGTATGGTCAGTCCATATTTGAAAAGCTCAGCAGGCACCTGCTACCAATTATTTTGTAGGATTCTTACTTACTATTCCCCATAAAGAAAAGGTACATGAACAAAAAAGAGTCGTGTTCACCAATGGTGGTGTTTTCAATCTTGACTATCTGGTCATGAGGTAAAAGAAATCATAATACAGGTAACTTACCGAATTAGCTGTCTGCTTATGTTGTTTACGGGGTGGACAACTGCTGCCCGTGTTAAAGCCAGATGATTTGCCCATCTGTAGAATCACATGTAACGGAAATTTAAGGAAAAGGAGATAAAACTGTTGTTGGAATTACAATTTTTATTTTTTTAGAAAAAAACTCACAGGATAATGTTGTGCTTGCATAATATTTGCATTCTTAGGAAGATGATCCTTGCGATGCAACTCCATACCTTACATTCAGAGCATGAGGTAATGTTCAAACAAAGTACCAAGACATAATAAAAACCTATAGCATGAGGTACTTGGCAAGGAACTGTCTGAATAACATATAGAATTAAATAATGAAACAAAAAGTAGAGTAAGAGTACCTTCCAATCTTGGTAAAGCTGGGAAGTCCTCATTATGGATTCTAAATTCCTGGTTTTGCTGAACAGCATTAATACCAAATGCTTGTTGTCTTAGAGGTCCTTCATTTGTTATAAAGGAGAAAAGTTAGTTAACTAATATTATCATTCAGAATATTTAGTTTGCATGTCAGCATTACCATATAACCCCTGAATATTTCCAGCAGAATTAGGTCGCCCAACTAATTGAGGAAAATCATTGATGTCAAATAGAGAATTTTCACCAAAGTTACCATCATGTCGCATTCCTGGAGAACCAGACGAACTGCTTCCTGCCTGCAATTGGTTCTTAGATAGTGTTCCTCCAGGTGCTGAACTAGAGCTTCCAAGCATATTCATAGCCGGCAATCCTGGTAAATAAACAATTTGAAACAAAACTGCCCTTTTATATATAAGAAATGAGAACGTTCACATTCTTACTAAACACAGTAAGTTCTGCACACGTTTTAGTTGCTTCGTTTGATTGATAAATGTAATAGAATAAGCACATTAACAAGATGGATGAGATGTCAGTACAGAATAAATAACAGCTAGCAGAACTATGGCAAATTGCCTCAACAGAATGGTGTACTTCTTTAATAATGGACCCAATTAACACTTCCATTCCCCAGATCAGGTACCGGTCAAATATGTGCTTCCTTATTCTTTTTTGCTCCAGATGACTAGTGTACTTCATAGGCTTAATACTCAGTCCTTTTTTTTATATGGCGTTGGCTAGTTCAAAATTGAACCAACCAATGTCATATAAAAAAATAGGGAGTATGTGATTTTTAATATTATTTATTTTAGATCATTTCATTATCAAATCAGAAAGAAAGACAAATTGAGAACATATGCGCGTGCATTTATACAAGGGGTTTATATGTTTAGTATATACCTTGTTGATGAGTACCACCCATTTGGTTTGATCCTCGGATATTAAGAGCCCCACTTCCAGACAAATTCACAGGGGATGCAACAGTAGGCATAGACATTCCGGCAGAGCTTATGGTTCTCCCAATGTTGCCCCCACCCGCAACGCTAGCCACATAAGTTATTCGCGGGCCAAAATTCCCACAAACTGGAGCAGCTGCCAATCCAAGAGCAGAATTGTGGTTACCATCTTTAGTCAAGTACGAGGAGGAAGCTTGTATTGAACCATCAATTGCACTCATGTTACCAGTAAAAACAGGACTTCCCCCAACATGCATACCTCCTCGGTTGCTGAGAGCAGGATACCCGACCTACAAAAAGGATGAAAGAAAATGTGAGCTGGATTAGAAGAGCTTCATAAACAGACTCGAGCTTAGGAGAGGAAAAAAGAACCTGATAAATGGATGCTTGAAGACTATTTGGAGGAAACCAAGCACCAGAAATACTACCCCTAGGTGGTTGAACCCCAAGGGATGAACTACCAGTCATTGAGGAACCCCTTGGTGCTAGTGAACCTGACATGTTTCTAAGATTGAGATTCCCATATACAACCCTTCCAAGTTTTTCGTGAGAGTTAGTTTTAGAAAAACATCACTTTCTAACATGCACAAACGGACTAGCAAAATAAACAACTGTAATGTCACTAACCAGGATGACGAAAACCTGAAACTGATCCAGATTGACCAGAAAAGGTCGGTGTCAACGGCTTTCCTGTTGAGACTGGAAGGTTTGATCTGGCACCACTACTGCTTGACTGAAAAAGTAACAAGACATAAGTTAACCTATAATTGTGACATTTTAATATGCATTTGTGCCAAAACAAAATAATAGGATCAAATTTTAATTATAATATAGACTTAAATAATAAATCATAGCTAGTATTCAAAGCTGCTTTTCACTACTCTAAAGAGCACTAATAACAACAAGAAAAAAGTGTCCTTCAACAGCATGATTCATAACACTTTGTTTTGATTTCAGACATAGTTTAAGGTCCTTGTGAAATAGAGGAACTAAACAAAGAGAAGGTAAGTTACAAGAATACAGTATCCAGAAGGATACACAAACCACCAATAAAGTATAAACAGGCTCGTGAGTCTGCTAATCTGGACTGCAATGATTTATTGAAATAAGATATAAACACGTAAAAAAATTATGATAGTAAGGATGAGGGCCTTCTGAAAACAACTAAACAAGGATGAGAGCACACATTCAGCGATCCTGACATTTTGATGATGATCAAAGAACAAACAGGCCAAGAGCAAGTCAACAATATTCTACCAATTCCATAACACCATTTATCAGATCTAGAGTTCAAGATAAGACAATACCCTGTATAGGCAATCCTCCAAAATGCAGGCTATTTTTCAAGGAACAAAAGGGAAAGGATTGATGTATTATTGAACAGACGATGTGCAATGGATGCAATGCAGGATCCAAAACCTGTTTAAAACATAATCATAAGAAGATGTAACCACTCTACTTGGGATCTCATGCCGCAGAGGCTTGTTTTGCTTCGCCTGTTTACCTATCTCATCCAACTGCCATGTAAGCTTGGCCTGTAATATTTCCTCCAAGGTATATATATAAATCTCTCTAGGGTTCTTCCAAATCCCCTCAACCAAATTACCCACAACCGCCGCTGCCGCGGACAGTGTCTCCATGCTCAACTATTCCAAGATTCCATTGTTTGCCGCCTGCTCAAGCCACCCTAGCGCACGACACCCAGCCGGTCCCTCAACGCACTGCCTGCTAGCTCTGCCCTTGGTTCCTTCCTCCCAGGCGTCGGCAGGTAGCAGCTATCCATGGCATCAGCGGACGGTGCAGCATGCGCTGACTATGGAGGCAACCAGACAACCAAGCAAGGTGTGACCAACCACCAGGACTCCATCCGCGCATCCTTTAATCCTCCCGATGATGATTGTCTCTCTCATATTCTCTCGATTCCCCTTTTGCCTTTTCAGATTAGGACCATCATGTTGTCAGATCTAGAAATCTAAAATGGAGTATTGGTTTTCGTTCATGTTTACCAGTAACTAGGCCTCTAGTTGCATGTGCTTGCCAGTAATTGTTCAGCTTGTACATCAAGCGATTAGCATCCTCATGCTAACATGTGGGATTTTTTTTTGTTCTATTTCAATGTTCTCTTTCCAATCCGCTGAACTTTTGAAACCATATCGTTAAGCTATCTGGCGGACACATAGGCATGCCTGCGAGCACACAGCGTCCACAAGCTACAGTTATGGGCTGAGTTCTTCACCCCTCATAGAGTAACGGGCACGCCTGTGGACAACAAACTCGCGGGCGTGGGCATGGGTAGCCAATACCCGTGCCCGTCACACCCAATTGCCATCCCTAACCCTAACCCTAGATCTATGCGTTTTACCGCTAGATTAGTATTCAATTGCTTTTCCACGGGGAATCCTAAATACTTGTCAACGTAGACCACTCCCGAATAAATGGAAAATTGAGGTCTTACCTAGTATAGTACATACTTGCCGACTATCTCTACCTACCAAACCTCATGCGTACCAACCAAATCACAACAACAATTACCAAAATCAGTCGTTGAGGAGTTGGCGGAAAGGGAGGATTACCTGTGTCGACTTTGATGGAGATTTGCGGCCGCCCATCCTTGAGCGTTTACTTTGGTGAGAAGGTTGAGAGGTGAAAAGACCAAGAATTGCGGCTAGGCATAGGGGTTCAACCCCTTTTATGGAACAAAACCGCATCTATCCCTTGTTGCCATAGGCACATAAGTTCAATCCCATATTTACCCCCTAATCTCTTTGACATGTGGGCCCATAACCCACATGCCATTGTGAGATTAAGGGGCAAATAAGAGGATATGCAAACTTTTAGGGGTGAATAAGGAATTTATCGAAAGGGGCTAAGCATACAAAATTGAGTAAATTCCTTATTTGCCCTTGAAAGTTGATTTCGTCCCTTTTTGCCCTTGCAAAATTGCCCTCCAATCCATTGACCACCTTTCTCAACTTCCCTTCTTTATTTGCCTATTGATACATCAAAATACATTTTTGCTCTAGTGAATGCCCTTCTTTCTCATCTTTATTGTTCCTTTTGCCACCATGGCAACACTTAATCCTCATTTTCATTATCAGTTCACCGGTGATATCTTGTATCCCGTCATGTCAAAAAAAATATCTTGTATCCCACCTCTTGGTTGGTTGTACCCTCATCAATTGGCACCTCCTCCTCACCTCCTCAATCCTGACCTACCACTCCACTATTGGCAACATCTTCCTCCATTCTCACGCAGTCACACAGTCACAGTTTTTCTGATTTTCTCATTAGGAAAAATATTCTTCAGCATATTCGCAGAATGAATGAGACTCTTAAAGATATAGTCTTAGCTGGTTACGAACTTTGTAAGGATTGTGGTTTTAGTAATCCTTGTTGCCTCTTAATCTCTACTACTTAGAGGTGGAGTCGTCCGTCTGCCCTCCCCCTCATGACGCACAGCACGAGTCACTACCTCCCCAAGAAAACCATAAAAAACAAATGGTAAAAAATACCAGTTGTATCCCATGCTTTAGGTTAGACCCACACCCCACCATCGTATGGTCAGTTGCAATGAACGGACATATTACTAGTTAAAAGCGACTATTGGCTGTCACCTGGCAGTATTCTCCTAAAAAATGCACTATCTACATGTGTTTTTAGGTATTTGGTTGATTTAGATGGTTGTGTATACAACTTATAAAACTGTGGATAGTTATATGTTGGTTTTTTAACTATAGATCTTTAGTATATTTGTTTGACATATGTTGGAACATGTGATCACATTGCTCGTTATATTGCAAATAGGCACTATGTCATGCATGGCAAACTAATGAACTGTTGATGGAAAAATTCTAGAAAAAGTAATAGAGATCCATAATGAGAGTAGGTGAATTACAACCAGTCCGAAAACCCAAATGAGGGTGAGTGCAAGCAAGTTTAAAAGTGGTACTTTAGAATATGTGACTAAAATTCAACCTAATTTGACAGGCGAAAATTATACTTAGTAGTTGATCACTAGAAGGCAAAACAAAAGTGCTAATGCTTACAAAATAATTTGAAATGAAAGAAATATAAAATGAAACAAATACTTCCTCCGTTTCATATTATAAGACTTTCTAGCATTGTCCACATTCATATATATGTTAATGAATATAGACATATATGTGTGCCTAGATTCATTAACATTTATATAAATGTGGGCAATGCTAGAAAGTCTTATAACCTGAAACGGAGGTAGTAATAATTACCAACACTGAACAAACACAGGCCTACTATAACTGGAGACTAGAACTCACAACCCATGGAAGTCTAGGATTAACATTTTGTGAGTAGCTTTATAATAAGCTGGTGTTCCAACTAGCCTCAAGAGGCCACGTATTTATGGACCTTCCATGTATAATCCTGAATAGTAGAATTAGCTATGTGATACTAAACCAATAACATGTTTGGATGAGCTTGAGATGCAAACTCGAAATTTCCAAAAGTGACTTCCAAAATTAGGTGGTGGGTCAGCAAGAAACAATGAAATTTCATCAGAATAACACATGCTCTTTTTTCACTCATAGGTATTGCAACATACTGAACAAAAATAAGGAAAAGGGACTGGAAATTACCATATTAAACGTAAGCATTCAAACATTACTCTGGTGGATCAAATTTTATCAACAATAAGCCACTTGTAATTTGTAGTCTCTTGTATAGATATACACAAATGGGTACAAAGCTCATTCTTTGGCTATATTTAGAATGCACATTCCAAATCCTATAATGACTTGTATCATGTGAAAATCCTACAAAACTCAGTTGTCAGGCCCTTACTATAGTTAGCACCTTTATGAAGGTAAGCCACAGATATAAAGTTTTCTTTGGTTAGTTTGAACAAATCCTACCCTATATTCACACTACGAACTGAGAAGAAAATTTCCACCCAATAAAAATATTTTAGGTTCTTCTCCCTCATTCAACTATACAATGGGTCTGTTTGGCACAGCTCCAGCTCCAGCTCCACCTCTTCTGGAGCTGGAGCTCAGCCAAACAGTTTCAGCTCCAACAAAAATGGGAGCGGAGCTGGGTGGAGCTCTCTCTCACAAAATGAACTAGAGAGGTGGAGCTGGGTTTAGGCAGCTCCATAACTCCACTCCAGACCCAACTCCTGGAGCTAAATTTAGGAGTTGGAGCTCTACCAAACTGGCCCAATATCAGCACATCATCTCATGCACACCTATAATCTCTCCCATTGATTTCTTGATCAGATGCATTGACCAAATATGAAGGCTACTTGAGGAAGCAAATCTATGGTAGGTCACCATTCTTTTGTAACCAATTTCTAACATCACCTTGGTTGCTTAGTTTTGGGGTTGATTTATTTAAGTCAACCAAGTAAAGAAAGATTTTCTATGTAATTGCTTCTCCCACAGGCACCAATTTTGAGCAGTAAGAACAAAAGCATGACCATCCATGTGCAGATAGGTTTTAGTTTAGTGTAGTTCAAATCTCATTCATTAACGAGTACAGTTACATGGTACAACTATAGGGTCGGTTTACTCAGTTACCTAACTTGCATGCCAATAAGAGTAGAAAATAATGCAGAATTCATGTGTTGTTTCAATCCTAAACCGTATTTAATTGGCAAAATAAATATAGATACGCATTACTCAGCACAAATAGGAATATTATTATAATAATTATTTTGTATATTGGATTAAAAGGAAGGTCCATTCTGGCTAGACTCTAGGGGAGTTCTTAAAAGGTAAAAGGACCTTGAATCCATTATAAGACAGTAACTTAAGGCATACAAATTAAAAAAAATTGTACACTGGTCTGTTTGTGGTCTTTTTCTATCATGAGATGATGCTAATGGAACATTAAATTAGCAAGAGGAAGAAAAAGTATTGAAGAAAGCAACCTCACATTGTTTAGTTGGTTTAGTGTCACTTCTAACTTCCCCTGGAAGGTAAGAAATATGCAGTTATGCACCATTGTCCGAACTCCAAAGCCTTTTCTCCAAGAATCATATAGGGAGCGTTCGGCAGGAGGAGTTTGTGAGTTAGTTTGTTTCATTTTCCGTGCGCACGCTTCCCGAACTACTAACGGTGTGTTTTTTGTAAAAATTTTCTATATGAAAGTTGCTTTAAAAAATCATATTAATCTATTTTTGAAGTTTAAAATAGTTTATACTCAATTAATCATGTACTAATAGCTCACCTCGTTTTGCGTATCTTCCCAATCTTCTCTTTTCCCCTCCTCTCAAACTCACCCATAGTCTATAGTGTATGAACTCTGAATCTCAAACTTGTAGTACAAAATAAATCTGCATGGTTAACACGACATACAAACAGATACCAATGAGTTGTTAAGCCACTAAAACATACAAACAATGAAGATGTTAGAAGCACAATTATCTTTCAGTGGATATATGTACAGCTCCATACGAGAGGATTCTTAATTCTCTTGAGGTAGCTACCTGCGAAAAACATCGGGGTTTTCAGGATCCATCAGTCAATCCCCTGAACAAGAACGATGATGTCGGCTTGTCGAGAATAACAGAACAATGCATATCCATGTTCTCCGAAGATTGAGCTCCCCAGCTTGGATCAAATCGCAGACGCTCGCGTCCGCAGCTGAGCAGGAGTTCATGAAACCTACCAATTTACTGCAAGAAAAAAATAATCTCAAACCGGAGCCTAACTGGAATTACATACAGCATCGAAGACTACCCGATAGACCAACAGAATAATTTGAGACCTGTAGAACATTCTGTGGCTTGAGTTCATTCAAAATCATCAGAATAAAGCCCCCCACCCTATCCCATTCCATCAATCCCTCCCCCGGGGCAACCGGAAAGGGAGAGAACATTCTGCAGATTGGGTTCATTCAGATCACCCAGGCTGGAAACTCCAACGCCAATGGCCCAAGCATCTCTCTAATTCGAATGCAGGAAAGGCCGCCGCTAAATCAAACTCCCAACTCCCCCCAAAAAAGAAAAAAAATCCAAGCACGATGCACGACTGGAAACTATTCCCCTGGGCCGGGACGAACACGCCGTCGGCTGCGAATCGAGATGACACAAGATCCATCCGCCGGTGAGCAGCGGCGCGGCCACCGACCTAATCTGAGTTTTGGCGATGGCGAGACCGAGAGTTAGCGGCGGGAGGCGAGGATCTCTCTGTCGCGGTGGAGACGGGGACGAGGGGTTTGTGCTTGTGCCCTTCGTCCCTGTGAACGAATCTTGATGCACTCCGTGTAAGGTGGTAAGGCTCTGTTTGCGAAGCTTCACCTTATCTCGTAAAATCTGAAGCTCTTCCAAATAATCCCACTTTTTTTTTAATTCTAAGAAGTTAGTTATAGAATATGGAAAATGAATTAGAGAGCTGTTTGGGAAGCTTTCATCACATAATCTCCCACTCCCTAAACCGTCTATATTTTCACCCATATTCTAAGAATCTTTACTCGTAGAATCTAGAAAATAAACTAGAAATCTAAAACTGAATCTAAAAGGCTGGCTACCAACCAGTAGATTTTCAGAATCTTAAACTACTCCAAACAAAACCTAGAAATCGGATGCTGAGAAATCTAGCTTTTCTAAGCCGGCTACATCCAGCTATTTCTTACAATCTTAAACTCCAGACAGATCCTAAGGCTAAGAGAGGTGCAAAAAAAAACACCAACCTACCGTATGAATATTTTTGAAATATTGAGCTAAGATTAACGAAGTTACGAGCTGGTAGCTCGCTATTGATAAGTACTTCCTCCGTTCTACAATGTAAGTCATCCTAGCATTTACCACATTCATATTGATATTAATGAATCTAGATAGATATATATGTCTAGATTTATTAACATCAATATAAATATGGGAAATGCTAAAATGATTTACACCGTGAAACGGAGGGAGTACCAAACTGAAGGAATGGGCTAGTAAATCTTGAAATTAATGAAGTTACCATGTGACTATCAATTGATAGGTCTCACTAAAAGAGCGGGTTCGACTAGAAAAAACTTGATTAGTTAAGTTACGCTCACTTAAAAAAACCAAACATTTTCTTGTAATGTTAAATTTAACTAGTTCTAATCATGAAGTGTACGACCTACATCTTATTTACGGTATTGTTAAAACAGATTATTTAAATATGTTCCTAGAAAAATCTCCAACTGTTTGTAAGGTCACTTATTTTTTTATTTTAAAAAATATTTCTATATAGTTACATAGATAATTTATAACAATACTCCACTTAATATAAATATATATTAAACATTTTTTTCATTTTACAAGAACCAGCCCAACTTCCCAAATGGCCCTCATCAATTCGACCTGGGCCACTCGGACGTTTCCGATGGACTCGTCAAGCCCACACTCCCCCCACCGATCAGACAGTGGGCCCTTCATGGGCCCACGCCACGCCCTCCTCCACTCCGTCTGACCTGACCATCTTCCACCCAGCGTTGGTCTCGTCTGCAGCCTCGCCTTCACCTCGGCGGGTAGATCTCGCGGGCGCATCGCGTCGCGGGGCAAATTCATCACCTTCGTGAGGCGCAAAACCCTACTGCCCTTGACCCCTCCCGCTCCCCTCAGATCTCCCCAGGGTCCACCGATCCAAGGTGAGGCGGCTTCGTGCTCGGTCGGTGTGTGCGTGACGTGAGGTTTCTTGTTCTTGATTTTGGTTTCTTGAGTTTTGACCATGGTGGATCCGGCGGTGTGTGGTGGTGTGTGGTTGCAGATGGCGAGCACGGGGGGGAGGTCGATGGCGCTGTCGCTGCTGCTGTTCGCGGTGACGCTGTCGCTGCTCGAGATGTACCGGGGGAGGTTCGCCTCGTCGGAGCTCATGACCATCGCCGGCGGATTCGTCAGCTCCCTCCTCTTCCTCTTCCTTCTCACGGTGCGTTGAATCGTCCGCTCCCAACCCTCCTCTTACGATCTTATACCCCTTAATAAGTTTTTAAGTTTTGCTCGTGATGCCGTTGTTTGTCCCTCTTTCTTTTTAGCTAATTTGAAGTGATAGAATCACATGAGTGGTAAAATTTTCGTTTTATTATTAATTTAGACAAACCCCGTAGCAAATGGAGTTGCCAAGATGTTGTCTCTCGTAGCTTTTGTCACATTTGAGTGATTCAGTCTGTAGGGGATAAACACCATAGAAGAAAACATAGTTTTGCTCTGTGCAGAAGTGGGTAGTAACATTGTGCTTCTCTGAATTGTAATATCCGACTAGGCGCATAAGCGAGATTTCGGCTTAGAGGACCTGGAACTAGTTTATTCAGGTTCAGTTTTCCAGATATCCACAGAAGAATAGCTTCTGAAATATCATACACCATCTAATATTAAGTTCACTCTCTACACAAGAAGTCAAGGATGGCTTCTGAAAGAGAATAGAACATTTAATTTTAAGCTCACTTGGTACTATGTAGGCTAAGCTATCTGCTAGTATTTCCATGATGCTATCATAATTCTTGCAAAGGGCATGTTAAGTATGGAACCTGGAGCTTCGAACTTTTAACCTTTTGAGCCAAGATAATAGAACTAAAGGGGGTTTTGGCCAAAAGCATGCTAAGCCCCAAGAGCATCCAGCAGAACTAGCAGCCCCAATGTCCATACTACTAGTCTTATCTGATGGTCAAAGAAAGTATCCTTGAAATGGGGTACTTATCCCAGCTTTCTGCTCTGTAACAAGAGAACAGTGCAAGCAGACCCTTAGGAAGGCAACAAAACTTAGCAAAAACAAGCACATAAGACATAGTGAGCAGGTGGTATCCACATTTGATTTTCACCTTTTATGGTTGTATTAAAAGATCAGTGAGTTTTGCACTTTTTTAACTGTTTCCTCTCAACATTAATATTAGTATATGATAATTTGATATACTTTTGCAGTTTATTGGCAACTATCAGGAAGCTAATGGAGTTAAAACTGGATGGGGTGCAGGTATGTATAGTCATACGATCTCATTCTTGCTGCTTCCCCCTGATTTTTATTTCGACTTTCTTTAACTGTCTCTTTCTTTGCAGTTGTTGTCGCGGAACTTACTGCACTTATTGTTGCCGGCACTGTCCATCGTGTTTGCATCACAACATGGTATGTTATCTTTAAGACACTTTACTATTTCTTTCTACGGACATTTAGAATTTTTCTATATGGTCCCATTAACACATCCATAGATCTGAGTGTTTGCTGTTTGCTAAATAAGAAAATTCTTGGATTATCCAGAGATGGTAATCTCAGACATACTAGTGGAGTATTTGCTTATGAACTGTTGCTCTGTTTAGATGGGAGGAAATGAAACTAACAATTTAGGCAAAAACAAGATACTCCACTCCTTTGTTTGCAAGGAGTTAAAACTTTTTTCATCCTGTTGAATGTGATATCATTCAAGATAGTAATGTGTATTTCACACAAGTATTTTTTACCTATCTTAAGTTGTATATTGTTAACACTAATGCTATTGGTAAATATGGATTTGTCACATGTTGTAAAAGCTGTATTTATGCAACAATGTCACTGGAAACGCTATGCAATTTGCAGATTACGCTATTCAGAATTATGGCATATAGAATGGGTTACTAGTAGTTCTGTTGAACCTGTCTATATAAAATATCAAATCAATTGCCCTTTTATAGCCTATTATGCTTGCGGTCTAAGTCCCGCCGCTACTTGGCATTTTTTTAAGCAACTTGACACATTGTGGATACCCTCATAACCATGACTTTGGAGAGTTCTATGACAGTGAGAAATTGATACTTTGGAGAGTTCTTTGACAGTGATAAATTCATATTATTAACCTTTGGTCAGTCTGTGCACCCGTTGCTGCAGTCCTTGCGAATGTGTTAATCAATTTTTATCAACTTTGGCTGCAGCTTCCTGTTTTCTGCTGGATTTCTCTACGAGGTTGATAAGCTCTCTGGAATGATTCTCGCGAAGAGCGAGTCTAAAGCGAGGCGGCACTAGGCTTTTGTACCATGTCATATTTTGTAGATCAAATCAAAAACTAATGTTCACACCCTTCATGGAACTTTCAACCCAGCTAGCTTTTTCCCCCAGGCATACGTATACCATTTGAATTATGAATTCCTCTAGTGTGTTTGCACTGATGTCACAGTTCGGCTTTTATGAGTTTTATCTAATGAGAATGGTGTTGACTAGGTGATTTCGATGTCTTTTTGACAGTCTCCTGGTGACATCAGTTCATATTTTTTGCAAAGCAATGACACATTTTGGCATTTTAGACGTGCCCTGTTGCAAACGTTGAAAACATTGTGAAGTGGTAGCTGTGGTTAAGATCTGAATTTGTCAAGCATGTTGCTTAACGTTTTATCTCCATCAACTCTGGGGTTTTCTTGTTTGCAAAGCGCGGCACGACAATGGGAAATGTCAACTAGGGACCTCTGGAATTATTCTATGGGACGGGGTCATGTAGTCTGCTTTGAGATTGGTGTTGAAATCTTCCCCGTGGATTATTTATTTATTTATTTTTACCTTTTTTATTTAAAATTTTAGAAATAAACCATTCAAAACTTATTTTCAAATCTAAAACTGTTGGTCACGTGGCAAGGGTTTTATCAATCCAGCTAGATTGATTTGGCGAGACAACAGCCCACTTTATAGCCATTATGGGAGACGTAGCAGAGTTGTTTTGTCAAGCAGTGCGAGATGACGTGGTTAGACCAAAAAATTTAGATTTGAAATAAGTTTTAGGAGCATTTATTTTAAAAACTACAAAAGGTTCGAAAATAATAAGAATTCACGTCCATGCAGGGCGATGAAAGCATTACAAAGCCAAAGCTGATTTTAAGTTTTAAAACTTTTTTTTAGAACTAATTCCGTGTGTTTCTTCGCCGCTTTCATTGTCCAACCTTTCCGTGATTTAGTGCAAAATTATTCCTGAGAATTAAGTAATTTTTAAGAATTGAAAAATCAGCTAAGCATGCACTCGTTTGCCGCTTTTTGCATGAATCTAGTGAAAGATCGCGATTGACATGAACGTGCGGCAATTTGACCAAGGCTCTCCCTTTCCCAGCCACTCTCTTTCAGGTCCACAACAGTAGCACAATGCAAAAAATCACGAGCAAATCAAAACTCGAGATAAGGCATGACGACCCCAATTGGCAACTTGCCCTTTTCTGCAAACTTCACACCGCGAGCCTGACGCGGTTGAAGAAGTATTTATTAACCCTATTTAATTAGGGTTAATTGTGTCCGGCCGACCTATGAGCACATGTGGAGTATTAATGAAGGTGTTTCTATGTTTCGATCCGGAAGTTATTTCTGCTAATTTTAGATTGACCTAATTTTAAGAGGATGAAAGGTACTCACAACAACTAAGGTACAAATTTACCACAAGGATTCTCGTCGTAATCAAGAAGACATAAGAGATCCTAGAATCATATACTCTCTCTCTCTCTCTCTCTCTCTCTCTCTCTCTCTCTCTCTCTTTCTGTTCTTTGTACTTGATGCATTTATCTTAACCGTGGATTACATGGACAGATTAGGACAGAATCCACAACGACGATTCCTCTCCTGCATTGTCAACTATCAACTGCACGGGCACAAATGTACTCCCTCCGTCCCATTTTAAGTGCAGTCAGCCATGATTTTCCGTGCTCAACTTTGATCGTCCGTCTTATTTTTAAATTTTTTACATAAGTCACGCATAAAGTAATATTCATGCTTTATCATCTCATAACAATAAAATACTAATTATAAAAAAAAGAATAAGACGGACGATTAAAATTGAGCACGGAAACTCATGGTTGTATTTAAAATAGAATAGGACAGTGGGAGTACAATCCAAGACGACGACTAACCTGCACATTAACCTAGGCACCTTCTTCCTAAGATATAGATATACCAGTACTAGTATAATAATGTTAACAAAAAGGAATATCAAAATGTGGGTTGGATTAAGCCTCACGATCCCATTTCGCGCGCCCGACGGCCAACACACAAAATAATAAGAAATCATGCCCGCGATGGCTACCTGACACCAACAGCCGACCTGATTGAGAGAGATCAATTAATAAACTGAACAACAGGTTAAATGGTTAACTAATCCAAGTCGACACTAATTACTCTATATTAGCGCAGGTCTTTTTTTCTTTTTCAATAGCACTGCCTCCAACTTCTAATAGATGACGCCGTTAACTTTTAAACAAATATTTGATCATTCATCTTATAAAAAAAATTTATACAAATATATAAAATATAAATCACTTAAAGTATTTTGAGTGATAAAACAACTTACAATAAAATTATAACTAATTAATTTTTTTAAACAAAACGAACGGTTAAACATGTGATAAAGAGTTAACAATGTTATCTTTTAAAAACAGAGGTACTAATATTGATTAAGCATAAGCAGGTCGGCTCTTTGACCAAACGGCGCGAGGAAGGAGCAGAGGCGGGAGGGAGGATGTCTGGCTGTCTGAACGCGTGAGGAGCTCACACTCTGATCATCCATCCGCGGGTGGGTTGACCTCTTCCCGGCGGCGCGGCGAGAGAAGGGAAGACTTCAACCCGGCCGCGGTTGGTGGCGCCATCACTCCCCGGCCCCCGCGCCCACCATATACACCGAGGCGTCGTCGCCTCCCCGCACCTTGCGCGGACTCTTCTCCTCTTCTTCCTCCACCTCCTCCTCCACGATCTCCGGTCAAGCAGAGCACAAGCGTGTGCTAGCTCTCCCGGTGGCTTGCCTCGCCGGCGACGGCGCGGCGCAGGATGGAGCCGCGGGTGTTGATGGCTCTTGCGCTGGTGGTGGTGGCGGCGGGCGTGCCGGCGGTGTTGTGCCAGACCAACGCCCAGGACGGTGAGTGCTCTTGCCTCGCCGCCGGCGATCACCTCCGTTTCTTCCATAGATGATTCTAAAGTCAGGCAGGATCTTCTTGCCCGGAGAAGAATCGCTTGGTTTTTGTTGCTGGTGTTGATGATCTTCTTCTTGGGCATGCATGCGTGCAGCTGCGGCGCTCGAGGGGCTGAAGAGCCAATGGACGAACTACCCGTTGAGCTGGAACTCCGGCGACCCCTGCGGCGGCGGATGGGACGGCATCATGTGCACCAACGGCAGGGTGACGACGCTGTAAGTTACAGCCATCTCCTTCTCCTCCTACCACCAATATCATGTGATGGGCCTTCCTCTGAAATCGTGCCATGGATGTCTCTGGTTTTTGCAGGAGGCTGTCAAGCGTCAGCCTGCAGGGAACACTGAGCAGCAGCATCGGCCAGCTCGGCCAGCTCACGTACCTGTAAGCACCTTCTTCTATCATCAGTTCATCACCCAGCTTAGCAAAAGTTCAAAACAGCATGATTTTGCAGGCTATGAACTTGGGATTTTCGAAATTTTGTTCATGCTTCTGTAGCAGTTCAGATTGTGAATTCAGGCAATCAGGCTAGGAACTTCTGATTGAACCAGTCAAGGGGCAGATTGTCAGAACAGTTTGCTTCTAGTTTATGAACTCTGCTTTTTTTTTTCTTGAGGCTTAGTTCAGCTGACCAGTTCATGTTTACCAATCTTAAGCTTTGACTATTTCGGCAATGTGACATGGATTAGGTTCATTTCTTACCAAATGAAAGAAACAAAGATATGATGCCAAGTTACAATAGTAAATAGATCTGGATGAAATATCTGAAGCTTTGACTATTTTCGCAATGTGACATGGATTAGGCTCATTTCTTACCAAAAGAAAGAAACAAGATACTACACTTGAAGTTAAATTATCAATAGCAAACGTACCTGGATGAAATGATCCGTGACAAAGTTCTGGAGTACAACTAATTTGTCTAAGAAGAAATAGTCTAGTAGTAGTAGCTGATAACAGAAACACTTGCAGGGATCTTTCCTTCAACATCAATCTCGGTGGTCCGCTGCCAGCTGAGATTGGGAACCTTGGGGAGCTTACGACACTGTATGCGCCGCACTGCCCATTGTTGTCAACACTACTTTTTCCAATCAGAAATACCAAACTTTCTTACTGATGTGCACAAATGCTGTGTAATTGTCAGGATCTTAGCTGGTTGCAGCTTCACTGGAAACATTCCAATAGCAATAGGCAACCTGCGGAAACTTGGGTTCTTGTAAGTGGATATACCTGGTCCACAGTTTCAGATGATAAACCCTTTTTTTCTTTTCTTTTGAGTGGATTGACATAATGAATTCGTGCCATTCTCTATAGGGCCTTGAATTCAAACAAGTTTAGTGGTGGAATACCGTCTTCGATTGGCGTACTCACAAACCTCTTATGGCTAGACCTGGCTGATAATCAACTCACTGGATCTGTCCCCATCTCAACATCAACATCACCAGGCCTGGACCAACTTGTCAAAACGCAGCACTTGTAAGTAATTTTAATCTTACTTTATGGTATTATCAATTGAGAAATATCAGAATATGTAAGTACTTACAATTGATTGTTTTGCTCCAAACTTCAAATTGATGAACAGCCATTTCAACAAGAACCAGTTAACTGGAACGCTTACTGGACTTTTCAACTCCAATATGACTCTCATACACATGTAAGGGATCGACAAATTTTCATGTCTAATATGAATACCGAATAGATATATCTTGCTAACATCTCTCCCTATCTCGTCAGTTTGTTTGATAGCAACAAATTCTCAGGCTCAATCCCAGCTGAGGTTGGGACTGTTAGTACACTCGAAGTTCTGTAAGTATCTTGAAAGTTCACATAGGTGGAACTCATCCTTTTATTTTCTCCAAAAAAAAAAATGGTCATATCTTTGACTTGCTTTTGTATCTTTGACAGCCGATTGGATAGGAATGGTTTTACGGGAGCAATACCTGCTACAATTGGCAGTTTGGTCAAACTGAATGAGCTGTAAGTGACATCTGATCTTAAAGGAAGAGTTATGACACTTGAGGCACCTCTCTTGAAAATGTTATCTTCTGCAGGAACTTAGCAAACAACAAGCTAACTGGATCAGTGCCAGATCTCAGCAACATGACCAACTTGAATGTTGTGTAAGAAACTAACCACCCCCATGCCTCATCATCCAATCATATAATTTGTCTGCATAACTAAAGATTCCACTCTTGAATTGCCAGGGATTTGAGCAACAACACATTTGATCCTTCAGTGGCCCCCAGCTGGTTCACATCTTTAACATCTCTTGCTTCTGTGTGAGTTATCCAAAACTTTTGGAATTTTAAATTTTGTGTCGTCTTGTGATGACAATTTCATACTCATCTCTATATGTTTTGATCACTCAGTTCAATAGTTTCTGGAAGTCTTTCTGGCCAGGTCCCAAAGGGGCTCTTCACATTGCCCACACTGCAGCAAGTGTAATTTTCTGGTAACTTACAACTCAACATATAAGCTTTAAAAAAAAGTGTCTTATCTCTGCCTATTTTGTGGCCAATCGGACAGTGTGCTGAGCAACAACCAATTCAACGGGACACTTGAAATTACAGGCAACATCAGCAGCTCACTGCAGACAGTAAATCTCATGGACAACCGAATAGTTTCTACCGATACTGCAAGCTACAAGAAAACTCTACTGTAAGAACCTGCAAACTCAATAAGAACCAAGAACACCATACAATCTTCGTCTTCTCTCCTACCTTTCACCAACATTGCCTCACTTCTCATGCCATATCCTGTCTGCAGCCTGGCAGGTAATCCGTTTTGCGCCGAGCAAGATCCCAACAACAGAGCCTTCTGCAGCAGGCAGCTACAGAACGCGAGCCCATACAGTACCAGTATGGAAAAATGCGGCTCAGCTCAGTGCAGTGATGGTCAGAACGTGAACCCTGCAAGCTGCGGCTGTGCTTTCTCATACAACGGCAAGATGGTTTTCAGGGCACCCTTCTTCGTCGACTTGGTGAGCAGTACGCCGTTCCAGCTGCTGGAGTCGACCATGGCGGCAAAGCTGAACCTGCTCCCTGGCTCGGTCGCTCTCTCAGACATCCACTTCAACAGTGACAACTACCTCCAAGTTCAAGTGAAGCTGTTCCCAACATCCGGGGTGACCTTCAACCTGTCAGAATTGACAAGGATTGGTTCTTCTCTCAGTAACCAGATTTACAAACCACCAGCAAATTTTGGACCTTATTTCTTCATTGCAGACCCATATGCCCCCTTGGCAGGTACTTGGATTTCACTGTGTCGAGACTCCCACTTTATTTGCACTGAAGTAGTTTTAGTTTTCCCTTTGAGAATGCAGAGGTATCAAAATTACAGCTTAGGAAATACCACATTTCGTTATCTGAGGGTTGGTATCTTGAAAGTTTTAATTTTTTACTTCTAAATTGCAATTAATGAGATGCTAAAAGGACTCTGCTATTTTATGTCGGAGAGTTTAGTATTTGCACAAAAGTACTAGTATATAGTGGTGTGAGGATTGCTCACTCTGATTTTGTGTGTGCCAGTTGCTCTTGGTGGCAAAAAATCCAAGATGAGCACAGGTGCCATAGCTGGAATTGCAGTAGCCGGTGGGGTCCTTGTTATCGCCCTCATTTTCATGTCATTGTTTGCTCTCCGACAGAAGAGAAGGGCTAAGGAACTCAAGGAAAGAGCAGACCCTTTTGGTAAGGATCTAAAAGCTCATAGGTATCATGTCACTGCAATGCCACCAAGCAATTTGTCAGGGACACATTAACAGCTACAAGCAGCAGCATCCTACTGCATGCTACTACTGGAATAAACTGACAAGATCAAGAAGTTCTGAAACAACTGAACCTGTTTTCTGATCCAAAATTTTCAGCTTCATGGGCTGCTGGCCAGAAGGACAGTGGAGGGGCTCCACAGCTGAAGGGAGCAAGGTTCTTCTCCTTTGACGAGCTCAAGATCTGCACCAACAACTTCTCTGACAACCACGAGATCGGGTCAGGAGGCTACGGGAAGGTGTACAGAGGGATTCTCGGTGACGGAACCCGTGTCGCCATCAAGCGTGCAGACCGCAACTCAATGCAGGGCGCTGTGGAGTTCAAGAACGAGATCGAGCTGCTGTCCAGGGTGCACCACCGCAACCTGGTCAGCCTCATTGGCTTCTGCTACGAGCAAGGTGAACAGATGCTCGTCTACGAGTACATCTCCAATGGCACACTCAGAGAGAACTTGACGGGTAAATCCACATCCCATAATTAACATTGCCATGAATCTGATTACACATTTTATTTCGCCATTTCGTTTGCATTGCTAAAATGATTCTTTTATCAAATGTTAACTGAAAAGGTTTTGATTTGCAGGAAGTGGGATGTACTTGGACTGGAAGAAGAGGCTGAGGATCGCGCTTGGCTCGGCCAGAGGGCTTGCCTACCTGCACGAGCTCGCTGACCCACCGATCATCCACCGCGACATCAAGTCCACCAACATCCTCCTCGACAACAACCTCAAGGCCAAGGTTGCCGACTTCGGGCTCTCCAAGCTCGTGGCCGACACTGAGAAGGGCCATGTCTCCACCCAAGTCAAGGGAACACTGGTAAATTCCCCTCACTATCCGCTCATGCCAATCTCCTGACAGAACTGAATTTTGAGCCTCACTTCAGTACTCACTAATAAAAATCTACTAACATCTTGAGAACCAATCAAAATCGATATGCTTAATTTGAAATCAAACTTGAAGTAAATATGGTAACTAAGCATGTACCCATTGCACTTCACCTTACTAACCACTTCTCCCAATCTCAAAATAAATCGATAAAATTCACCTTACTAACCACTTCTTCCAATCTCATGACAAATTGATAAAATTCACCCTACTAACCACTTCTGCAAGTCTCCTGACATAACTGAACTTTTAGGTTCGCTTCAGTAAAATTCGACGAACATCTTGAGGACCAATTGAAATAGATATGCTTAATTTGATCTGATAGTATAAAGAAAACAATCAAGATTGAAACAAATGGTAATAAAATCGATGGGATGTGGCTAGGGCTACCTGGACCCGGAGTACTACATGACGCAGCAGCTGTCGGAGAAGAGCGACGTGTACAGCTTCGGGGTGGTGATGCTGGAGCTGGTGAGCGGGAGGCAGCCGATCGAGAAGGGGCGGTACGTGGTGCGGGAGGTGCGGCTGGCCATCGACCCGGCCGACCACGACCACCACTACGGCCTCCGCGGGATCGTCGACCCGGCCATCCGCGACGCCGCGCGCACCCCGGTGTTCCGGCGGTTCGTGCAGCTGGCGATGCGGTGCGTCGACGAGTCGGCGGCGGCGCGCCCGGCCATGGGCGCCGTGGTGAAGGAGATCGAGGCCATGCTGCAGAACGAGCCCGACGACGCCGGCGCCGGGGAGGGGGACAGCTCCGCCGACCCGTCCGCCAACGAGTTCGACCGCCACCGCGGCGGTGGCGGCCCGCCGGCGCACCCCTACAGCGACGTGGAGATCAGCCGGGGATCGTACGCCGGCGATGGCGCGTCGGATTACATGCCCTATTTTGAGGTCAAGCCCAAGTAGTCATCATTAGATTGTAAATTGATGAGGGTGTTGTTTGTTTCAGTTTTTTTTTCCTTTGTTCTTTCTCCTTTTCAGCTTGTGATGAATTGTAAATTTTGTATGTGTTGCGAGTTGCGACAGATTAATATATACTGCTACAGATTCTTTCAATTTTTCACTGTACCAGGTGCAATTATACAAACAGATCAATTACGATACGAATTTTATATTTGGTGTTTGAATCTCGAAGATTAAGATGAAGATAAAAATTAAGTGTTTCACGTAAAACGAGGTGATTATAATGTGTGATTAATTAAGTTTTAATTATTATAAACTTGAAAAATAGATTAATCTGATATTTTAGAATAACTTTCATATAGAAAGTTTCAGCATAAAACGCACAGTTTAGCAGTTTAAAAAGCGTGTTATTTGGATTCGAACGGCCTCTTAGTAAAGAGTAGATTGTATTAGTAGTACGAGAACTTGCAGGTGGGTACGATTTAGTGCAACAACTCGAAAAATATGCAGACCGATACATGAAATTGGCACTCAAGTGTATTTTGGTTAAAACGTTGTTACGTACATATGATTCAACATATTTTGTTTGTTATATTATAATCATAACTACTAGATTATTGGTCATGAATACAATTGAATATGTTTAACTAGTAGAATCGCTCGGAAATTATGTTACAACAATTCTTATACACTTAGTTTTAACGATCATTATATATTTCGGTTTCAAATCGACAGGATATTTATTATTATAAGCAAGCAAATAAAATACATCTAGACCATTATTATTTGATAATCATTATACTTATTAGATTATTGGCAACGACTACTGTTTTTTTTACTATGTGGCTTAAAAGGTGTGGTGTCTAATATTATTTTTTTTAGCCAGAATGCACATACTAGCCAAGTTGTTACACCTAAATGATCATTTTTTAAGTTGTTACACTAGATTGCACCCACCTATCAAGTTTATGTATCGTGGACACAATTTACTCTCTAGTAAATTTCCTAAAACCCACCTACTATGGTTCAAATTTCACAAAATTCCAACTACTATGATCCTAAAGTTTCACAAATAACACTATTGATAATTTGTATTCTAAAGAAAAACATTATTGATCATTTTGATTTTAAGCTATCACAATTATTTTGACTTTAAGCTATCATATATTCTGGTTTTGTGGTTAAGGAACATAAAAAAAATCTCACTATTAAGTTGAGTGACCTCTGACGAACTTATTCTTACATCTATATAGGACGTCAAAGGGCCCACTAGGCCTCACCAAGGGTAGTGGCACGGGCAGAGGACAAATTTCATAATTAAAATGCCCAATATGGCAAATTTTGTGGTTAGATTAAGGACTCCATCGAATTATTGGCAATGTTCAATCATTCGAAAACCAGCAATTTTCCTCATAAAATAAAGTAATACTAGTACTAACCTAATGAAGCCACGAACCTTGGTTGCATCAATCAAGCTAACGACCTAAATGATTCGGGCGCCTTCCACACAAGAAAAACACACATGTACTGATGTACACAACATGGAGAGGGAAATGGCTACAACAACGCGCAAGATTAATAAAGCAACATATTTTGCCTCTGAAAGGACGGAAAAGAATTGAAAATATTCATTATTTCTAATTTTTTTTAACTATATACACGGTTTTAGAAGAATTGTGAAAATATACGCGTCCTGCGTGATGAAAACGTGGACCGTGTGTTTGACGTGGCACGAAAATGCAAGAGCAACGATCGACGCGATCCCGCGGTGTGGGCGCGTGGAACCGCGTCTGTCCCGCATGCCGGTTGAGCGGCACCGAATGCGGGACGGCATGCTTGCATGCAGCCACACTTTCTTGCTGGCGGTCGTGCGCCACTGGCTCGCGGGACCGCTCAACCGACTTACGGTACCGCGGCGCCGGTTCGCGGGATCGACGCAGTCCCACACTGCCGTTCCGCGTGACCGCCTCGGTCCCGCTGCGCCGTTCTGCGCGACCGAGCGGGCGTCGGCTCACAGCTTGATTCCACACCCTCGTTCTGCGTGACCGGTCCCGTACCCATCATTCCGCGGCACCGCTCGGCCTATCGGTCCCGCGCCGCCACGTTGCGCTTTCGTTCCGCTCCCGCATTTCCAGCGTGTGGGAGAGATATATTTCTGTAAATCCTTCTCGCCCACGTATATAAACGCAAAATGCGAAAAAACAAGATATTTTTTCAAATTTTTTTCCCGAAAGGACGAGGTTAGCTTACGAAGTTAGTAGTCAACCCAAACGCTAACCAACCAACACGCGGAATTTTTTTTTTATTTTTTTTATTAAAAGTTTTACAAAAATAATTTTTCATTTTGAAAATTGACAGAAGTGGTCGCCTACCGCCCTCTAGGAGGGCGATTTTTAAAAATCGCCATCCCAGAGGGCGGCGAAAGTGATGTGGCAGACGGCCGTTCGCTCTCGGGCGACGGCCGTCAACGAAATTTGCAGGCGGCCCCCTTGCCGCCCTCCGCTAGGGCGATTTTGTACTGTGCGGGGGGCCGCCTGCAAATGGGCGGCGGGGGGCCTGGAATTTTGCAGGCGGCCCCCTTGCCGCCCTGGGGGAGGGCGATTTTATACTGTGCTTTATATTTTTGTATAAATATCAATAGTTATCAAATCTTTTTATATTGAAAACTATACAAGATTAAAATCTCCAAGACTGGTAAAATACAATTTTATTATTTTTTAGGGCCTATTTGGAATGTTACCGTACAAATATTTTGTTAGTGCCAAAATATAAGCAAGTTTTGGCACTACCAAATATTTGGTAAGGTAAAATTGCATTTGATCATATTTGGTTTGCTGCCAAAATGTAAAATTGTAGTGAAGAATGTTCTACATAATCTCAAATCTAGATTACGTATTACCAATGAATAGGCTTCAATCGAAATCAAACACAAGTACTATTCAAATTACCAAAATATTGGTAGGGCATGTTTTTGATAGCAATCCAAATAGGCCCTTAGTCTTACGCATACAAAAAATCACCACCATAATTAAACATTGTAATGATAAGATAGATAAGAAGTGCCATCGATACACGGTACAAATTTGTCGATCCCGACGAATCAAGCATGCGGTAACCTATCGGCTCCTTCTAGGTCGGTCAGAATGCATTGCATTCTCGTGGTCCTTCAATCGTTGATACTCTACTTGTGTTTCTGACTCTGTTATCTTCTGGCCATGATATGATGGAGTGACATTGTCGATCCATCGAGTAAATCCACCCATCCTTGGATTGCCCTGTAAAAATAGTAATGTTATTCAGTTTGGGTAGTAATTTTGTGCAAATCATAGCGGATTTTGTAAATGGTTAGACATACAACGAAATCGTTGTCTACATTGGGGCAGACAAAATATCTCCTTCGAAATGTTTGTTCAGCAAAGGATGTAGCCACCTGCCAGCGATCTCTGCACCCACACTTTGGACGCTCGGACCATTTAGGTAACCCTAATGGATTGTTCCTCCAGTCTAAGCTTGCAATTTCCACCCGACGTTCGTACTCCATCCAAGCATGAATGAACTGTATGGTCGGTTCAGGTTGCGTTATCGGCCCGCCACTTGAAGTAACTCTGACTGTGTCAATCCATTGTACGAATTGACATTTCCTTACATCCTCCTATGTACATTCATTTTGGGATAGTTAAGTTAATGATAGTACTGAGGAGTGATGAAAAGAATAGTTGTAATTACCACGAAATCATCGTCGACAATGTTTGGACACACGAAACACCTTTGTCCTCGAGTTCGGTGCCTTACGGACCTTATGACCTGACAACGGTCACCACAACGACACTCCGGACGCTCACGCCACGTGGGGAGTCCTAGGGGATTTACGTGCCATTCTAAAGCCTCAGCAGCAATTCGACGTTCATGCTCATCCTTCCGCCTTAGGTAGTCCGATCTTGTTTCACTACGTGGGTAAGCACGGGTTCCGTCGTTTTGTGGGTTCTCCATGTCTACCCACTCGATGAAGTTGCACATTGGACGATATGTCTGCGTAAGATGTTACAATTGTGTACGAAGAAGTTAGTTTTTTTATCCATTTGAACTTCGAATAGATGAAGCATACCTGATCAAAGTTCGCGCATTGGAAGAATCTCCTGCCCCGAGTTTGTATCATGAGGGAAGACTTGAGTATGCATCCATCCCCACAATCGCACAAAGGACGGTCACACCATGGTGGAAACCAACCAGCAAAAGGATCGCTTCGCCAGTTGAGACGCTCAAGGAATGGCGCTTCCATTTTCGTGTGTTGTGTGCTAGTGGGAAAGAAGATATGAAGAGGTTGCCTTCAGATTGTCAATTATATAGCGTCGTTTTCACTGCAATATATGTGAACTCAATGAGATACATTATTCATTAGATGTGACAAGACGATCACGCGTGGGCGTGATTCACTTTATGTCAACAGGCAGCGCCGAAAGTTGATAGTGACAACTCGAGCTGCCGCTTTTCATGTGTGCTGTTGTGGACTGTGCGCGCTACTGGATCTGACACTACCGTGAAGCGCCGAAAGTGTGTTGTCGTGAGCATAAGTTGTTCTAGCACCATATGAATGAAAAGAACTATGTAGACGAGACAAACACAAGTAGTACTGCAGTAGTAATAGCAAAAGTAGTACTGCTTTACAAGTTTGTAAGCCAAAAGAAACGGTCACATAAGGACTGAAGAGGTAGAACACTACTGACGAGGCCTCTTACCCCTGTCCCTCCTACCCTGCGCCCTAATGTGCCCCTGGGAGTACGTGAGTCAGTCCGGGGGTACGGCACGGCCAACCCGTCCTGCCTGTACAGGTGTGACCTCTGGCTGCTCCTGAGTGTGCGCCTCTGGAGCTCCTCCAAGCTGAGAGGAGCCTAGTACGTCGTGGTGGTGTGCACCGTGCAAGTCGTCGTCGTAGAACTGGCTAGTAGGACCAGTCCTACCGGCGTGAGACGAAGAGGCCCCAGTACTGAAGATCCCGGCTGCAAATCCTGCAGGACAAGGACCATCAGTTTCATACAGGTATTTAATAGTATTAATAAAAAGTAAAGTACCGTGTGGGCGAGGGATCGACGCTCCGTGAGAGGAAGAGCTGGCGAACGCGCCCGAAGAGGTGGCGAACGCCCCTGCGGAGCTCGCGGAAGCGCCGGTCGTGCCTGCGAACGCGCTCGAAGGCAGACGAGGTCCTGCGATGAG